CTATTTGTATGTCTGTTTATGCGGCATTGAATTGTTGCCTACTTGTAAGCCACTCGGTGTCACCTTTGGGGTGAGAGAAGGCGGGGTATAATTTTTTTAATTTTCAGGAGCAACTTGAGAAACTGCAAGTCGCTTCTGGTGTGAGAGAATTGGTAATCTGCAAGGATGTTGCCCAGGGCATGCCCAGATGTCTTACCATCCTGTGGGAGGCTTCTCTTATGTCCCTGCATGGGAAGCTGGAGTTGACAGATGGGAGCTCACCCTGCTCCCCGGATTCGAACCTCCAACCTTTTGGTCTTCAGTCCTCCCAGCACAAGGCTTTAACCCATTGTGCCACCGGAGGCTCCTGGAGTATAAATACATAAAATAAATAAATAAATCGGGTTCGAACCTGCATCTCAAGAGTCCTATTTAGCACCTATTGTAATTGTTTGTTTTTGGGTCAAGCATAAGAGATATTGTGTCTGAATCTAGAGGTTTTGCATGCAGAATTGTGGAGTCCAGAGTTGGAATCTCAGCTCAAGACACGGAGCAAGTCGCACTCTCTCAGCTTCAGAAGAAGCCAATATCACCCTTCCAGAAATCCGCTTTCTATCTCATCCCTCTTTGTAGCATGCCTTAAATCTAGCTAGGAATTCTCTGCTGACATCTAGCGGTCACCCAACTCTTTTGCTCCGCTTTCGGCTGCGATCCATAACATCTAAAGGGTGCACCTACACCATAAAAGGAAAGCAGTTTGACCCCACTTTAAAGCTATGGGGCCCTGGGAGTTGTAGTTCAGCAAGCATCCCTGGCAGAGAAAGCTCAAGACCTTGTCAAAACATGATTCGGAAGCATTTTTGAGCCATGGTAGTTGAAGTGGTGTTAAAATGCATTCATTTTATGTACATGATCACATAGGAAATCCTGTTATTTTGCACTGTTTATTTATTTTATTACTTTATGTATTTTGTTGTGATGTAACTTTTCTGTTGTTGTGTATTTCATTTTGTTGGATTGTATGTTTTGGGCTTGGCCTCATGTTAGCCTCCCCAAGTCCCCTTTGGGGAGATGGTGGCAGGGTATAAATAAACATTATTATTATTATTATTATTATTATTATTATTATTATTATTATTGACACAAAAGCACAGTATGCCACAGCAAACGAGATCTATATGCTGGATTTCACATCACAAAATCACAAGTCGAACATTTCCCAAGCGTCTAGGACTGTGTGATGTATTTTTGAATGATGCGCGCAGATCCAAGTAAGGCGGCCTTTTGCAGTTGACAGATCATGATTTTGCCGATGTTTATTGTTTCCAAATGCCAGCTGAGATCTTTTGACATGGCACCCAGTTCGCCAATGACCACTGGGACCACCTGCACTGGTTTATGCCAGAGCCTTTGCGGTTCCATTTTGAGGTCCTGATAGCGGCTGAGTTTTTCCTGTTGTTTTTCCTCAATGCGACTCTCACCCGGTATGGCGACATCAATAATCCAGACTTTTTTCTTTTCCACAATCATGATGTCTGGTGTATTGTGTTCCAAAACTTTGTCAGTCTGGATTCCCAGACTGGATTCCCAGTCCCACAGTATTTTTGCATGTTCATTTTCCACGACCTTTGCGGGTTTATGATCCTACCAATTCTTTACTGCTGGCAGGTGGTACTTGTAACATAAGTTCCAGTGAATCATCTGAGCCATAGAATTGTGTCTTTGTTTGTAGTCCGCCTGTGCGATTTTCTTGCAGCAGCTGAGGATATGATCCATGGTTTCATTGGCTTCCTTGCACAGTCTGCATCCTGGCCTTAATGGCATTGGTTCGGATGGCTTGCTCCTGGGCTGCAAGAATCAGGCCTTCTGTCTCCTTCTTCAGGTTCCCATTCGTGAGCCATAACAAGGTCTTCTCCTTGTCAACTTTTCCTTCAATCTCCTCAAGGAACTGCCCATGCAAGGCTATGTTGTGCCAGCTGTCAGCTCTGGTTTGGAATGCAGTTTTCTTGTACTGACTCTTTGTCTGCTGTGCTTTGAGAAGTTTCCAATTATTGACTTCAATTAAAGCAGGTTCTTGGCTTTCCTTGACATATTCTGCCAGGGCGTGTTTTTCTTCTTCAACTGCTTGTTTGACTTGTAAAAGTCCTCTGCCACCAGACTTTCTAGGCAGATAGAGCCGGTCAACATCACTGCGAGGATGTAATGAATTATGAATGGTCATGAGTTTTCTTGTTTTTCTGTCCAAATTGTCCAGTTTTGCCTGTGTCCAGTTTATGATGCCAGCAGTATATCTTATGACAGGTATGGCCCAGGTGTTTATGGCCTTGATGGTGTTGCCTCCCTTGAGCTTGCTTTTGAGAATTTTTCGGACCCTTTGAATGTATTCTTTGCTGACCACAGTTTTCACATGTTCATGTATGATGTTGTGCAGCTGTAGTATGCCCAGATATTTATAGGCCTCTGGCTGGTGACACTTGATCGCTTGGCCATTGGGCAGATTTATGCCCTCACTTTCAATGATTTTTCCCTTCTTCAGTGCCACTGTCGAACATTTGTCCAAACCAAACTCCATGTTGATATCCGTGCTAAAGATTCGGACAGTGTTAGTCAGAGACTGGATTTCAGTTTCAGTTTTCCCATACAGCTTCAGGTCATCCATGTACAGCAGATGTGAAATTTTGTGAGATCTCTGAGATGTTTGATAGCCGAGGTTTGTTTTTTGTAAGATTGTTGACAGAGGGATCATGGCAATGATGAAAAGCAGTGGGGACAATGAGTCTCCCTGGAAAATTCCTCTTCTGATGTTGACAAGTCCATAGTTTTCATTTCCAACAAACAGTTCAGTTTTCCAGTGCTTCATCATATTTTCAATAAAAGTGCCAACGTTTTTACAAATCCCGATGGTGTCTAGGCACTTGATGATCCAACTGTGTGGGAGTGAGTCAAAGGCTTTTTTGTAGTCAATCCACGTCATGTGAAGATTGGTTTTTCGGCTTTTGCAGTTCTCCAGAATCATTTTGTCAATTAATAACTGGTCTTTTGTGCCCCTGCTTTTCCATTTGTTACTTTTCTGTTCATCTGGCAAGATGTTATTCTCTTCAAGATAGTCTTGAATTTTATTAGCTATGGTGCCGGTCAATAGTTTAAAAATAGTGGGCAGACATGTTATCGGCCTGTAGTTTCCTGGTGTTGCCCCTTTTGCTGGATCCTTTTGTATCAGATATGTTCTCCCAGTTGTTAACCATTCACTGATACTTCCTTTTTGTAGCATCTCATTGAATTGTTGGGTCATTTTTCCATGTCGGCTAGTCAGCTATTTTAGCCAAAATCCATGCAGTTGATCACTACCAGGCAATATCCAGTTCTTGACTTTTTGCACTCATTCGCTGATCATTTCAGTAATTATTATTATTATTATTATTATTATTATTATTATTATTACAGATGGTGGCAACACAAATCGCAGAGCACTAATGTGCATCAAGGGCTTTTACAGATATTCGTAAGTGATCCAGTCAACAGATTACCATCTCATGATGGGAACCAAACTGTGGTTTACCTCCATTCTGTTTCTGCTTCAAAGTGCATTCAAGAGTCAGTCGAAAAGCGGCCTTAGCTGACCAGTATTTAGATCGTGGACCAAACTATGGCCAACTTGTTTCTGCTCCGAACTGCGTCAAACAGTCAATCTCGAAGTCTAGTCCTTAGATCATAAATTCATGTCATGATTGACCTTTATTTCAGTTTTGTTCCAAACTTCATCAAACGGTCAGTCTAGATGAGGCCTTAGTCATACATGATACACCTCTGTTCCATTTCTGCTCCAAACTGCATCAGTCGGTCAGTTTAGATGGGATCTTAGTTGCCCAGCCCTTAGCCAATGTTTCTCAACCTCCCTAATGCCGCAACCTCTCAATACAGTTCCTCATGTTGTGGTGACCCTCAACCATAACATTGTTTTCTCTGCTACTTCATAACTGCGATTTTGCTACTGTTATGAATCATAATGTAAATATCTGATATGCAGGATGTATTTTCATTCACTGGACGATATTTGGCACAAATATCCCATACGCCCAAATTTGAATACTGGGGGGTTGCGGGGGAATGATTTTGTCATTTGAGAGTTGTAGTTGGTGGGATTTATAGTTCACCTACAATCAAAGAGCATTCTGAACTCCACCAACAATGGAACTGAACCAATCTTGGCACACAGAAATCCCATGGCCAACAGAAAGTATTGGAAGGGTTTGGTGGGCTTGACCTTGAGTTCTGGAGTTGTAGTTCACCTACATCCAGGGAGCACTGTCGACTCAAACAATGATGGATCTGGACCAAACTTGTCATGGATACTCAATATGCCCAAATGTGAACACGGGTGGAGTTTGGGGAAAATAGACCTTGACAGTTGAGAGTTGTAGTTGGTGGGATTTGTAGTTCACCTACAATCGAAGAGCATTCTGAACCCCACCAACGATAGAATTGGGCCAAACTTCCCACACATAACCCCCATGCTTTGAAGGGACTTACTGGTGCGAGCCTCCCTCCAGCCTCACACGCTCTCCCTCGCCCGAACTTGCGCACCATGTTGCCATGCGTTGAGCACGCCTGCTCTCCCCTCCCCCGCTTGGAGTCCCAGAAACAGCCCTCCCCTTGGCTGAGAGGTTGGCCAATCACAGCAGAGGAGGGCTTTTGGTGGGAGGATTTGCGGTCTGTTTCCAAAAAGAGTAGGGAAAGACAGGCGGAAAGATCTTCATTCTTCTCTGTCAAAGGAGTTCCAAAGACCATCAGAAATATGTGTTTTCTGATTATCTTTGGCGACCTCTGTGAAACCCCCTGGTGACCCCTTCCCAGGGGTCCTGACCCCCAGGTTGAGAAATGCTGCCTTAGCTCTTTAGATCATAAACTTGTGTTATGAGTGACCTCTGTTCCATTTCTGCTCCAAACGACACCAAACGGTCACTCTAGATAAGACATCCATAGTTGACCTCCTTTCCCTTTCTATTTCTTTCCCTCACCAGAACCCTTTCCACCTCCACATGGACCGCCATGTTGACTTCGAGACCCTCTTGGACCTCCTGGCCAACATCTTCCGGGCCAACAACTGGCATGAGGTGACCCTCATCCTCTGCCACGCTTGGGACACCTCGGCTTTTGTGGACCTCTGGACCAGCCGTGCTGGCTTGGAGAGGACAGCAGTAGTGGACCTCAGCCTTTGGGAGGAGGAGGCCGAGACAGCCCGCTACCTCCGCCGACACTTGGAGGAGTACCGCGAGCTCCCGGGACCGGCCCTGCTTTTCGGCTGTGACACCCGGCTCTCTCGGATGGTCTTCCGGACAGCCAAGGACCTGGGGGTCACTCAGGAGTTCCACTGGGTGCTGGGGCAGCCCCAGAATGTGGCCGAGCTCCAGACGGAAGGGCTACCCCTTGGTTTGCTGGCCTTCGGGGAGGTGGACCGCCCACCGCTGGAGCATCTGGTCCAGGACACCGTGGAGCTGGTGGCCCGAGCCATCGCCAGTGCCGTCGCCCTGCGGCCCGACCTGGCCCTCATCCAGAGCATGATGAACTGCAACGACAAACACCTCGAGGGCTCTGAGTCATCGGGACGTTACCTCTCCCAGTGAGTAAGCCCACAAGCACATCTTGGGCTCAGTTTCCTTTATAGCAAGCGTAGGCAAACTTTCTAACTTGGGGGCCTCATGGTGGGCCGGAGCGGTGTGGGCGGGTTAGGAGGGAAGGGGTTCTCCCCGAGCCCCCTCCCTGCCCTTTCCTCCTCTTCCTCTTCTCTTTTGGAGGCAGAAAGTGAAGGAAAGGTGGGAAACATTTGGATCCCAAAAGGGTTGGTCCTGATCAGGATAAGATGGTGGACAGGAGAGAAAAAGTGTATAGATTAGACCCCATATTGCCTACTCCTAATATAGAATCCTATAGCTGGAAGAGACCCCCAAGAGCCATCCAGTCCAACCCTCTGCCATGCAAGAAGGCACAACCAAAGCATTCCCGATAGACAGTCTCTGCGGAAAAGCCTCCAGAGAAGGAGACTCCACCACACCCTCAGGAAGCCTAGGCCACTCACTGACTGCTCTTACTCTCAGGAAGTTCTTCCTAATGTTTATGGTTGAATTTCTTTCCCTGCCATTTGAAACCATTGCTCCCTTGTGCCCTGGTCTCTAGAGTAGCAGAAAGTCAGTTTTCCCCCCTCCTCAATGGGACAGCATTTGAAATCTTGAAACATGGGTCTCATATTCCCTCTCTACCTTCTCTTCTCCCAACTAAACATCCCCCAGGAGGAAAGGAGGAAGGAAAAAGAGGAAGGGGGGGGGGGAGAGAGAAGGAACGAAGGCTGGAAGGGAATAGATACAGACAGACAGGGAGGGAGAAAAGATTGAGGACAGGAAAGACAAAAGGGAAGGAAGGAAGGAGGGAAGGAGGTAGAAAAGGAGGGAAGGAGAGAAGGAAAGAAGGAAAGGAAAGGAAAAGAAAGAGGGAAGGAGGAGGAAGAGAAGGAGAGGGAAGTCGTGGGACTGAAGGAGGGGAATATGGTGAGAATAGAGGAGCAGATATCGGAAGGAAGAGAGACGAAATGTAGCGCAGGAAGAGAATGCTGTAAGAGTGTGAAAGGGACTGGAGGTAGGAGACGGAGTAACTTAAAGAGGGAACAAGACAAGTAAGGAAGGAAGGATAAAGAGAATTGCTGGCGGGCTTCCGAAGATAGGTTTTTAAAAGCTTTTTGAAGAGAAGAGGGAGGGAAACGAGGGGTCGTTACAGCTATGAAGGGATGTATTGTTAGTGCGGTAGGAGGAAAGAGAGAAGATCGGGAGGCATAAGAGAAGGACAGAAGGCAGGCAGGACGGAAGAATGAATGCTATCCTGAATGAACGAATAAGGCACGACAGTCAGGCACGAATGAAAGAAAGACGGAAGGAGGAAGAGAAAGAGGTAAGACGGATGAAACTATGCACGGAGCAGAATTCAATGTACATTCTTGGAAGGAGAAGGAAGAGGAGGAGGAAAAGGAGGAGAAGGAAGAGGAGGAGGAGGAAGAGGAGGAGAGAAAGAGGAGGAAGGAGGAGGAAGAGGAGAAGGAGGAAGAGGAGGAGGAGGAGGAGGAGGAGGAGGAAGAGGAACAGGAGGAAGAGGAAGAGGAAGGGAGGGAGGGAGAAAGAAGGAGGTAAAGAAGGAAGGGAGGGAGGGAAGGGAAGAGGAATGAAGGAAGGATAGGATAGGATGGTGAGAGAGAGAAGGACCTGAGAAAAGAGCCCAAGGGGCCACATCCGGCCCCTGGGCCTGGGTACCTGCTCCATTGGAAAAAAGCAGAGCTTGGGAAATATTTCCCTTATTGAGAGTCGTGTCTCTTGCAGAAGAGCATAGCCTTGGAAATGTCTCCATTATGGAGAGGAAAGTAACCTTGGGCCATGTTCATAGCAGAAAAACAGAGCTTGGGGGATGCTTCCTTTACAGAATAAAAATAGACCGTGGGCCATGTTTCCCCTAAAGGATGAAAAGCAGACCTTGGGAAATGTTTTCCCCACTTTCATTGGCAGAAAAAAAAAAGATCTTTGAATAGTGGGTTGCTGTGAGTTTTTCAGGCTGTATGGCCCTGTTCCAGTAGCAATCCCTCCTGACGTTTCATCTGCATCTATGGCTAATGGCATCTTCAGAGGTTCTGTTGGCAGTGAAGCAAGTGCAGTGTATCTATCCCCGTGGAATATTGTCCAGGGTGGAAGAAAGAACCCGAGTCTGTGTAAAGCCAGTGTGAATGTTTGCCACCCTGAGTCCCTTTCGGGAGATAGGGCAATATAGAAATAAAGTATTATTATTATCATTATTTATTAATGTTGCAATTGGCAAGCTTGATTAGCATTGAGTAGCCATGAAGTTTGCAGAGTCAATCAGTGAGGGTATGTGCATAGAGGTAGCTTGCTTGTTGTTGCCTGGAGGCATTCGCTGTTTGGGAGGGGTTCACTGGCCCTTGATGGTTTGTTGTCTGGAGTTCTCCTGTTTCCAGAATCAAGACAGTAAATAAAGAACACCACTCAGAAACAGGAGCACTCCAGACAACAAACAATCAAGGGCCAGTGAACACCTCCCAAACAGAGTGTGCCTCCAGGTAACAAAGACCAGGCTACCGTCACTGATTGACTTTGCAGCTTCATGGCTACTCACTGCTATTCAAGCTTGCTCATTGCAACATTTGCACTTGCTTCAGACAAGGGTTCTTTCTCCCTCTCTGAACTCTATTCCACAGAGATATACACACTCCACTTGCTTTACTACCTCTATGCAAATACCCTCACTGGTTGACTTTGCAGATTCATGGCTACTCAATGCTATTCACACTTGCTTTAACAGGCAAGCGTTCTTTATCTCACCCTGGACACCATTCCACAGGGATATATACACGCCACTTGCTTTACTACCTCTAAGCAGATGCCCTCACTGATTGACTTTGCAGCTTCATGGCTACTCAATGCTAGTCCAGCTTGCTCATTGCAACACTTTCACTTGCTTTAACAGACAAGGGTTCTTTCTCCCACCCTGGACATTATTCCATGGGGATATATACTTTCTACTTGCCTCACTCCCAACGGAACCTTTGAAGATGCAGCCACAGATGCAGGCAAAACATCAGGAGAGAATGATGCTGAAACATGGCCATACGGTCCTATAAATTCACAGCAACCCAGTGATTCCAACCATGAAAGCTTTCGACAACACATAGAACTTTGAACAGGTTTCCTCTCTTGATCAAAAAGAAGAAATTTGAATAAACTTTCTATTGATAGAAAAGCATGGCTTTGAGAATGTTTTCTGTGTAGAAAGATAAGCATAGCTTGGGAATTATTGTGCCAGAGAACGCCAAGAGTTCATGGTCAACCAAGTGGTGTTTCCAGGCAACGTTTTTTCTCCTCTTGTTCTCCAGCTTCCTAGCCAACACCTCCTTCCAGGGCCGGACGGGCAAGGTTTGCGTCCACAACAGGTCCCACATCCACACAGAGCGCCACTACAAGGTCTGGAGCCTGCTGCGGGACTCGGTGGGGCAGCCCACCTGGGTGACGGTGGGCAGCTGGAGGGGCGGCGAGATGGAGGTGGAGGAGGGCACCTGGCCCCAGCACCTGCAGCGCAAGAGCCAGGCCGAGGCAGCCGGCCTCTCCCGCATGAAGCTCCGGGTGGTCACCCTGGTGGAGCACCCCTTCGTCTTCACACGGGAGGTGCGTTGGGTTTGGCAGGAATGGGTTTCTCAGACACAGAGAGAATCCTGGGCCTGAACAGAAGCATGGCATCTCAACTTCCTTCCTGTTCTATCCACCCCTCACTTTCTTCACTTCCTCCTTTCCATCTATCACTTTCCTTCCTTCCTTCCATCTCCTATCTTCCTTCCTTTTACCGAACTCTTCTTCTTTCCTTCCTTCCATCAATCACCTGCCTTCTTTGTATCCTCTCCTTCCTTCCTTATTTATTTATTTATTTATTTTGGGCACTTCTACCCTGCCCTTCTCAACCCCCGAGGGGGGACTCAGGGCGGCTTACACCAGGCACAATTCGATGCCAACAATTCAACAAATAAATTACATAACAGCAATAACCACAGTAGTTAAAACAATCAATTAAAACAATAACAATTAAACAATTAAAAGCCAAACTAGTGGCCAACGTTCATCGAGTTCTGATATCTGTATGTCCATTCAGCATTACCATAGTCCTTTCCAATTTCTGGTCGTCATTATCTTGTCAGTCTGCCAGATTACCCAAAGGCCTGGTCCCATATCCATGTTTTCAGCTTCCTTCTGAAGGAGAGGAGGGATGTTGATGACCTAATTTCCCCGGGGAGTGAATTCCACAGGCGAGGGGCCACCACTGAGAAGGCCCTGTCCCTCGTCCCCACCAGCCTTACTTGTGATAGAGGCGGGGCCGAGAGCAGGGTCTCCCCCAAAGATCTTAAACTTCGAGGTGGGACACAGAAGGAGATACGTTCAGGCAGGTACACTGGGCTAGAGCCGTATAGGGTTTTATAGGTCAAAACCTACCTTCCTTCCTTCCTTCCTTCCTTCCTTCCTTCCTTCCTTCCTTCCTTCCTTCCTTCCATTATTATTATTATTATTATTATTATTATTATTATTATTATTACTTTATTTATACCCCGCAAAATCTCCCAAAGGACTCGATGCGGCTTACAAAGGCCAAGGCCGCCAACAACCATAACATACACATACACAATAAAAGTCATAAGCAAATAAAAACATCAAGCAAAGCATTAGAACAATAGAAAACAATGACACAGTGACGCATTTAAAACCAATCCATCCATCACCTCACTTCCTTCTACCCTCTCCCTCCCTCCCTTCCATCCATCCATCCATCCATCCCTATCCTATCTTCTTCTCCATCCATCCATCACCTCCCTCCCTTCTTTCCTCTCCTTCCTTCCTTCCTATCCTTCCTTCCTTCCTTCCTTCCTTCCTCTTCTCCTTCCTTCCTTCCTCCTCATCCATCCATCACCTCCCTTCCTTCTATCCTCTCCTTCCATCCATCCTTTTCTGCTTTTTCTTCCTTCTGACCCATCTTTTTATTCCTTCCTGTCTCCTTGTTGTTTGATCTTTCCTCTCTTCCTCCTTTCCATCTTTCTTCCTTTTTTTCCATCTGAGCTTTTTCTTGTTCCATCTTTCCTGGTCATTCATTCTTTCCTCTTTTTCTTTCCCTTTCTTCACTCAAGTTTGTTCTTCCTTTTCTTAAGGATTTCATCTTTTTATGCCTTCCTTTTGTGTCCTTCCCTTCCTTCCTTCCTTCCTTCCTTCCATCCATCCATCCATCCATCCATCCATCCATCCATCCATCCATCTGTTTCTCCTTTCTTACTTCCATCAATCATCTCCCTTCCTTCTATCCTTTCCTTCCCTCCTTCCCTCCATCCATCCATCCAACTTTCTTTGCTCCTCTTTCTCCCTTCTGGCCCATCTTTTCTCTTTTCCTGTGTCCTTTTCGTTGGATCTTTCCCCTCTTCCTCCATTCCATCCTCCTTTTTTCCATTTGAGCTTTTTCTTATTCCATCCTTCACTGTTCTTCCTTCCTTTCTTCAGCATTTTATATTTTCATACAATTGGAAGAGACCACATGGGCCATCTAGTCAAATTCGCTGCCATGCAGGAAAAACACAAAGTAACTAACTAACTTCACCTGATCTTTTCCCCCTCCACCTGATTCCTCACACTTGGGGCACGGATTTCCTCTCTAATCTGAGGGTCCCTACCGTTGTGCGTTTGCTTCTCCAACTTCTAAGGCATTGATTCCTTTCCAGGTGGACGAAGAAGGCAACTGCCCGGCTGGACAGCTGTGCCTGGACCCTCACACCAATGACTCGGCGGTGCTGGATGCCCTCTTTGAGGAGCTGAACTCGGAGAATGGCTCAGTGCCGGCCGAGTACCGCAAGTGCTGCTACGGCTACTGCATCGACCTCCTGGAGAAGCTGGCCGAGGACCTGCCCTTCGACTTTGACCTCTACATTGTCGGAGACGGGAAGTACGGGGCCTGGAAGAATGGCCGCTGGACGGGGCTGGTGGGCGACCTGCTAAGTGGCACGGCTCACATGGCGGTCACCTCCTTCAGCATCAACTCAGCCCGCAGCCAAGTCATCGACTTCACCAGCCCCTTCTTCTCCACCAGCCTGGGCATCCTGGTGCGCATCCGGGACACGGCCTCGCCCATCGGGGCCTTCATGTGGCCCCTGCACTGGACCATGTGGGTGGGCATCTTCGTGGCCCTCCACATGACGGCCCTCTTCCTCACCCTGTACGAGTGGAAGAGCCCCTATGGCATGACCCCACACGGGCGCAACCGCATGAAGATCTTCTCCTACTCTTCCGCCCTCAACCTCTGCTACGCCATCCTTTTCGGGCGCACTGTCTCCAGCAAGACCCCCAAGTGCTGGACCGGGCGCTTCCTCATGAACCTCTGGGCCATCTTCTGCCTCTTGGTCCTCTCCAGCTACACAGCCAACCTGGCTGCCGTCATGGTGGGTGAAAAGACCTTTGAAGAGCTCTCCGGGATCCACGACCCCAAGGTGGGCCTGGCGAAAGCAACCGGCTGATGGATTGTATTACTGCTAGCACATATATCTTCTTTTTCCTTCCGGCTCATTCTTTCTTTCCTCTCTTTCCTTTATATACCTTCTCCCTCTCCTTTCCTCACACCTTGCCTTTCTTCTTTCCTTCCTCCCTTGCTTTCCTCCTTGCCTTTCCGTTCACCTTCCCCTTCTTCTTTTCTTCCTCTCATCTTTTCTTCCTATATCTTGTTCCTCTTTTCTTCCCTTGCCTTTCCTCACACCTTCCCCCGCTTCTTTCCTTCCTCTCACCCTTTCCCTCCTGTATCTTCTGTCTCTTCTTCTTCTTTCCTTGCTTTTCTTCATACACCAATGCCCTCTTCTTTCTTCCCTCCCTATCACATATCTTGTCCCTATTTTCTTCCTTCCTTCCTTCCTTCCTTCCTTCCTTCCTTCCTTCCTTCCTTTCCTTCCTTCCTTCCTTCCTTCCTTCCTTTTCTTCCTTCCTTTCCCTCAAATATCTTGTCCATCTCTTTCCTTCCTTCCTTTCCTTCTTCCTTCCTTGCTTTTCTTCATACACCAATGCCCTCTTCTTTCTTCCCTCCCTCTCACATATCTTGTCCCTATTTTCTTCCTTCCTTCTTTCTTTCTTCCTTTTCTTCCTTTCCCTCATATATCTTGTCCATCTCTTTCCTTCCTTCCTTTCCTTCTTCTTTCCTTGCTTTTCTTCATATACCAATGCCCTCTTATTTCTTCCTTTCCTTCCTTTCTACCTTTCCCTCATATATCTTGTCACTTTTTTCTTCTTACTTCCTTGCTTTTCTTTATATACCTCCTCTTTACTCTTATTTTTTTTTCGTTCCTCCCTTTTCCTCCCTTCATTTCTCTTCCTTTTTTGTTCCTCTCTTTTGATCAGTTCCCCCCTTCCTTTCGCTTCCCTCATAGTTTTCCACTTTCCTTTTCTTCATCCACTAAGGATGAAGGAGCCCCCGGTGGTGCAGAGGGTTAAACCCCTGTGCCGGTAGGACTGAAGACCGACAGGTCACAGGTTCGAATCCGGGGAGAGGCGGATGAGCTCCCTCTATCAGCTCCAGCTCCTCATGCGGGGACATGAGAGAAGCCTCCTACAAGGATGATAAAAACATCAAATCATCCAGGCATCGCCTGGGCAACGTCCTTGCAGACGGCCAATTCTCTCACACCAGAAGCGACGCTCCTGACACGACCCAAAAATCCACTATTTCTACACACATAATGCCCTCTGCTGGTTGCATCTGAGCATGACATACATATATTTTCACTATGGGGGCGCTTGTCCCCACACAAAATTGATTTTGTAGTGGAAACCCTGCCATTATGTTATGTTAGGTAATGAAGGATAAGGATGTCAAGTTTGGTCCAGATCCATCATGCTATGGAGACGCCTTTGTGGAACATACATACATACACACACACACACACGTACTTTGACTTTGTATTCATATATGAGGCGGCTATGGATGTAGGTGAACGACAACTCCCCCGAATCAAGGTGAATTTTTCCCAAAGACCTCCAGTATTTTTTGATGGCCATGGGGGTTGTGTGGGCCAAGTTCTGTCCAATTCCCTTTTTGGTGGGGTTCAGAGTGCTCACTGATTGCAAGTGAACTATACATCCCGGTACCTGCAACTCCTATACATCATGATGAATTCTCCTTAAACCTCTCTAGTATGTTCCGTTGCTGATGAATTCCTCTGTTTGCTGTGCGCCATAGGAAAGGGTTATGGGAGACGCAGTGGGCAGGGTCATGCAAATTCCACACCAACAGAGTCAGAAGCACTGGGATGTCTGTGGTGGAGGAAACACATAAAATCTAGGATGGAATTGTCTCCTTATGAAAGCCTTCACTTGGGTGGTGGGTGGTATGGTGTTGGTGGAGGACACTGGCAGGGCTCTTGGACATGTTCATGGTGCTCACTATAACCTGCAGTGTCATTGGAGGGAGGGTCATTGGTGTCTCCTGAATTGTGGGAGCTATAGATGTGTTTGGAAGCAGGACACCCCAGGCACATACACATATACATATTTTCACTCTTATTATGTGTATAGAAGATATAATGTATTTTGGTGACATGCACAATGGCTTTTTTCGCAGCTCCACCATCCTTCACAGGGCTTCCGTTTTGGCACCGTCTGGGAGAGCAGTGCAGAGGAATATATAAAGAAGAGTTTCCCTGATTTGCACGAATATATGAGGCGGCTCAGCGTCCCTACCACCCCTGCAGGGATTACCATGCTCAAGTAAGCGACTGTTTGGGACAATCTTGGTTTCCCTCCTCACTAAGAGATGCAGTAGGGTCTCTTTCTTTGGACATCTATCTATTTGGCTGGAGGTCCTGCATTGGGGTGGGACTGGATGGCCTTTGGGGGCCTCTTCCAACGCTACGATCCTGTGCCTACATCTTGAACATTGCAAGGTCTTAATTTTCCTTCTCCTTTTAGGACCAACCCGCCCAAATTGAACGCCTTCATCATGGACAAATCCTTGCTGGATTATGAGGTCTCCATTGATTCGGACTGCAAGCTGATCACGGTGGGGAAACCTTTCGCCATTGAAGGTAAGGGGGAAAGTCTTCCGGTTTTTTTTCTTACTATTTTAGTGTCATTCCCTATCTTCTTCCCTCCCTCTTCTTTCCTTTCTTCCTATTTCTCCTTGCAATTCTATCTCTCCATTCCCATTCCTTCCTTCCTTCCTCTCTTCCTATTCCTTCTTCCTTTATTTCTTCTTTCAACTCTCACTATCTCTTTTCCAATTCCTTCATTCCTTCTTCCTGTTCTTCTTTCCCTTCCTCTCTCTTATTCCCCTCCCTCTCTCCCTTCCTTCCCCCCTTCCTTCCCCTTCCTTCTTTCCTTTTCCTCCCTTCCTTTTCCTTCTTTTTTCTTTCCTTTCTCCCTCCTCCTCTTCTTTTCCTTCCTTATTTCTTCCTTTCCCTCCACTCTCTTCTTATTCCTTCCTCCCTCTCTGCTCTCTTCCTTTTCCTTGCTTCTTTCTTCCCTTTCTCCCTCCCACTACTCCCTTCTTATTCCTTCCTTTCTCTCTCTCCACTCTCTTCCTTTTCCTTCCTTCTTTCGTCCTTTCTCTCTCCCACTACTGTCTTATTCCTTCCTTTCTCCCTCTCCCCGCTCTCTTCCTATTCCTTCCTTCTTTCTTCCCTTTCTCCCTCTCTCCGCTCTCTTCCTATTCCTTTCTTCCTTTTTCCCTCGCTCCACTCTCCCTCTAGTCTTTCCTTCTTTCTTCCTTTCTACCTCCCTCTCCACTCTCTTCCTATTCCTTCCTTTCTTCCCTTTCTCCCTCTCTCGGCTCTCTTCCTATGCCTTCCTTTTCTTCCCTTTCTACCTCACTCCACTTTCTTATTCCCTTTCTTCCCTTTCACTCTCTCTCCGCTCTTCCTATTCCTTCCTTCTTCCCTTTCTCCCTCCCTCCACTCTCTTCTATTCCTTCCTTCTTTCTTCACTTTCTCCCTCCCTCCACTCTTATTCATTCTTGATTCCCTTTCTCCCTCTCTCCTTCTACTCTCCTCCCATTCCTCTTTCTTTCTTCTTTCCCTCTCTCCCTTCCCTTTCATGTTATTCCTTCCTCCCGTCGGCTCAGGCAAAAGCAAAGCGCTGCATCCTTTCTTATCGTCTCTCTCCTTCCTCGGCAATAACTTTAGCCACCTTGACCAGTTTTGCCCACAAGTGTCCTGATTATCACCGACGAAACATTAGAGGACACACAGTTTTTACTTCTTCGCTTCGCCTGGGTTATTCCCTCCCGTATCCACATCACCTTGACGCCTTCTCCCCTTTTCCTTTTCAATCTCAAAACCCCATCAGAGAGAGAGACAGCCAAGGGGGAAGGTGCGTGGGCGAGGGAGTCATTGCTATTCCGCTCAGCTCCCCGTTTTGCGGCGGAGCTAATGAGAAGGCGGGAGATCACAAAGCGCCGGAGGAGACGAGGGACAGGGAGAAGTAATTAGAAATGTCAAGAGGAAGAGGACAAGGAGGAAGAGGAGAGATGCAGCAAAGTCAGAATTAGGGCCGGCCCTACCGTCGTGCAGAGTGTCGCCATTGTCACTGGTGTATTACCACTGGGTTTCCAAACAAGCAATGGTAATGATACACAGGGGTAGATGGTTGACAAGTCTGACAGATCAGAACCAAAGGGAAGTAGTGTTACCAACACGGGACAGCATCTGCTGTCTCTAGGCATTCTCTAGGTTCTCCAGTGTTACGTTATTCGCTCCATATGGTTCCTTCTACAATCCTCTATGGCAGCGTTTCTCAACCTGGGGGTTGGGACACTTGGGTGGGGGGGGTCGCGAGGGGGGTGTCAGAGGGGTCACCAAAGACCATCAGGAAACACAGTATTTTCTGTTGGTCATGGGGATTCTGTGTGGGAAGTTTGGCCCAATTCTATCGTTCGTGCGGTTCAGAATGGTCTTTGATCGTAGATGAACTACAAATCCCAGTAACAATAACTCGCAAGTGTCAGGGTCTATTTTCCTCAAAATCCACCCGTGTTCACATTTGAGCATATTGAGTATCTGTGCTAAGTTTGGTCCAGATCCATCATTGTTTGAGTCCACAGTACTCTCAATGTAGGCGAACTACAACTCCAAAACTCAAGGTCAGTGCACACCAAACCCTTCCAGTATTTTCTGTTGGTCATGGGAGTTCTGTGTGCCAAGTTTGGTTCAAGTCCATTGTTGGTGGAGTTCAGAATGCTCCTTGATTGTAGGTGACCTATAAATCCCAGCAACTACAACTCCCAAATGACAAAATCAATCCCCCCTAACTCCACCAGTTCAAATTTGGGTATTTGTGGCAAATTGGGTTTAGTGAATGAAAATACATTCTGCCTATCAAATATTTACACTATGATTCGTAACAGTAGCAAAATTACAGTTGTGAAGTAGCAACAAAAATAATTTGATTGTTGGGGGTCACCACAACACGAGGAACTGTATTAATGGGTCGCAGTGTTGGGAAGGTTGAGAACCATTGCTCTACGTTGTATCTCTCCTAGGATACGGGATTGGCCTGCCCCAGAACTCACCCCTCACCTCCAACATCTCTGAATTCATCAGCCGATATAAGTCAGCTGGCTTCATGGACCTCCTCCACGACAAATGGTACAAGATGGTGCCCTGCGGCAAGCGGGTTTTCGCTGTCACCGAGGTATGGAAACATCTAGATGTCCAAGACCACAGTGGGGAACATCTTTGCTGTCCAGCATTTGTATAGTTATCTATTCACTTTGGCCTTTTCTTTATATAGTGCCAGAGCACTGCATCCATACATATCGATCTATTCATTTTGGGGGGCCTAGCCCTAAAAGAGATGGATTTTTAAAACTGGAATCCAGACAGTATTTTAAGTTGGATCATGACAGGTTTTTGTGTCCCAAGCTTGGTCTAGATCCATCAAGCCATGGAAAAGCCTTTACGGGACAAACATACATACATATGGGTAGATTTAGTGCCCCTTTCCAACGTGATTCTAACTTGTCATAGACAATTGTGTAGTTTCCTAATAATGTCAACACCCCCCCATTAATGCCATTTTCTGGTCTCTTCTCAGACCCTGCAGATGGGAATATACCACTTCTCCGGCCTCTTTGTGCTGCTTTGCATCGGCCTTTGCGGATCTCTCCTCACCTCCCTCGGGGAGCACATCTTCTACCGACTCATCCTTCCGCGCATCAAGCGCAAGAAGAAGTTCAACTACTGGCTCCATACTAGCCAGGTAAGAACATGGTCCATGGATTGCACTATCCATAGCTTGAAAATGTCCCCAAAATAAAAGAATCCCCTAAAGTAAACCTTGACCCCCAAGTCCTATGACTCTTCATGACTATGGAATAATCCTTTTTTTTCCTGTTTGTTTTGTTTACATCAGAAAATCCACCGGGCTCTGAACATGGGTTTGGAGGAACAGAGGAACAAGAAGCTGAATCTGGAAAAAAGGTAAAACTCTCCCAAATTGTGCAATAGTTGTTTAGAACCTCAGGAGGACCAAATGTGGTGGAAATAGAGCATTAGAGCAATGGATTGAAATTGCAAGAAAAGAGAATTGACCTAAACGTTAGGAAGAACATACTATATGTAAGAGTTCTTCGATAGAGAATGGGATCGCCCTTCTCTGAGGTTTCTAAACTTCCCTTCTCTGGAGGTTTCTGGGTGGCCATCCTTCAAGAAGGCATGGATTGTGTCCTCAATAGCAGAATGGGGTTGGCCTGGATGGCCCTTGTGGTCTCTTCCAACACTACAATTCTATCAAATTCTATTTCTTTTATCCTGCAAAGGTGCAACATTCAGAAGAGTCAAGAGGAGCCCGAACCGCCTCCACCGAACCAGCCGGGCTGGAACAACCTCCGCCGCGCAGCTGTGAAAAAGGAGGACAAGCGGGTGCATTTCAACATCGAGAACGCGCCGGACGGTCCCTCAGAGGAGGAAGAGGACGACGAGCGGGAGGCACCCGTCTGGCACTGCATGAATGGCCAGGACCCGCAGCAGGAGGACAAGGAGGCCAAAGAGAAGGAACTCAAGGAGCTGGAGGGGAAAATCGAGGACATGCGCGAGCAGCTGCGGGCGGCCCTGGTGCGCAAGAGTGAGCTGATGGTGGCCCTGGGTCCGCCCCCCAAGGCTCCCCGGCTCCCCCCAGCCCTGAAAGCACTGATCAAAGAGAGCAACGAGGACAGGTGATGGAGCCGAGCGGCCCCACAATGGCGGACCGGGGAGTTCCCCCGTTGAGTGGTTCATTTGATAAAAAGCTCCATCCAAAACTAACAAGCGAAACATCTCTTGAGCCTGGAGACTTGTGGGCTCCTTTGTTCTGGTGCAATAGTGCCATTGACGATTATGAAGAACTGCTACGTTCCTGCACAGTAACACAATTGTGATTTTGAATAGGAGCTGTTGCATTCTAGCGCAGTAACACTATTGCGATAACAAAGGAGAGTTGCTGCATTCCAGCACAATAACGCAATAGTGATTATGAATAGGAGCGGTTGCATTCTAGGGGAGCTGCTGCATTCCAGCGCAATACTGCAATTGTGATTATGAAACTGAGCTGTTGCGTTCTACCGTGGTAACACTATTGCGATTACAAAGGAGAGCTGCTGCGTTCCAGAGCAATAACGCAATTGGGATTATGAACTGGAGCTGGTGGGTTCTAGCGAGCTAACACTCTTGCAATTTCAAAAGGGAGCTGCTGCGTTCCAGCACAATAACGCTATTGTGATTATGAAGTGGGAGACGCTGCGTTCCAGCACGGTAACGCTATTGCGATTATGAAGTGGAGCTGCTATTTTCCAGCACAACAGTGCTAAAACATTCAGTCCAAAATGAACAAAACATCCCTCAAGCTGGGAACTTGGGCACTCCTGCGTTCCAGCGCTAGCGTGATGACATAGAGGAGCTGCTGCGTTCCTGTGTAACAGCACTGTTGTGATTATGACAGTGTTGCTGCATTCCAGCACAACAGTACTAATGTGATTACAAAGGGGAGCTGCTGCAGTCAAGTGCAATAGTGCAGTTGCGATTATGAAGAGTTGCTGCGTTCCAGTGCAATAGTTCTGTTGTAATTATGAAAACTGGTTGCTGCGTTCCAGTGCAACGGTGCTGTGATTAAGGCGAGCTGCTTTTTAGCACAACAGCGCCATTGCGATTATGATAGGGAGCTGTTGGTTTCCAGCGCAAAAACGCTATTGAGACAGGGAATCTGTTGCAGAAGCCCACAGGTTTGGTTTGCCTTCCTTACACTTGTCCTGAGATTTGAGCTCTTTCTTTCCCCCGACGTTTGCCAGAGCTTAGTAGCTGAATGCTTGCTTTGCATGCAGAAGATCCTGGGTGCGAGTCCCTGCATCTCCAGCTACAAAGAGTCCTGGATATCCAGGGCTGGGCAACACATACCAGAAGTGTCTAACTAGTGGCCTGATTCACTATATAAGGCAGATGCGTATGCCACCTATGGCATACAAAAGTTCAATGACGACGGATTGTCTGGGGACGGAGGGGAGCTGCCTCCTGCAAACCATCAATACAGCCCGGGTTTTAATGCGAGCTTTAAATGAACTCTCCAAAGTTCTGAATTTAGATGCATTCAGTCCTTTGGAGGGCTCCATTAAGGCCTGCATTAAGATGCGGATAGTTCAGTTCCTTAAATACATCATCAGCACAACTGGTTTCCAATCCTATTCATCATTTCCCATTCCCGCCATCTTTCCAATAGATACAAGTCTATTTTTTTATACAGATGAATATTAAGGCAAACAGGTTTGATGCTACGGCAAATCATTCTGTGGAATCCACAATGGTTGTACACGTATGAGAGTTTAATGTGGTCTTGTTTCAAAAGACTTGTGTATGTTTATTTCAAAACAGAACTAAGCAGGGTAGAGCTTTACGATTGTGAAGAGAGAGAGAGCAATTCAGCAGTCTTTACTTTCTCTCCTTTGTCTCGTTCCATTTGGAACGATCACTTATTATTATTATTATTATTATTTATATTATTATTTATTACCTCCCCTCCTGAAATGAGGAGACATCTGATCGTGGATCAGGGGCTTTGGAGTAGATGAAATATGGGGCAGAAGATAGAAAAAGGAGCAAAGAAGGAAGGATGGATGGATGGAAGAGAACAGAAGAAAGGGAAGTGATGGATGGATGGAAGGAAGGAAAGAAAGAGAATCAGTGGAAGGAAGGAAGGAGAGAGAGGATAGAAGGAAAGGAGGTGATGGATGGATGGAAGGAAGGAAGCAAGTGAGAGGGAGGGAGGGAGGAAGGAAGGAAGGGTGGGTGGAAGGAAGGGTGGGTGGAAGGAAGGAAGGAAGGAAGGAAGGAAGGAAGGAAGGAAGGAAGGAAGGAAGGAAGGAGGGAGGGAAAGGAGGGGGATGAAGAAAGGAGGGAGGGGGAGGGAGGGAGGGAGGGAAGGGTCCGATGGATGGATGAATGGATGGAAAGGAGGAAGGAAGGTGATGGATGGAAGGAGAGTCAGAGGAAGGGAGGAAGGAAGAAAGGGAGGGAGGGAGGGAGGGAAGTTGGATGAAAGGGAGGGGGGAGGGAGAGCATAGAAGGAAGTGAGGTGATGGATGGATGGATGGATGGAAGGAAGGATGGAAAGGAGAGTCCGGTGAAAGGGAGGGAGGGAAGGGTGCTACGGATTTCAGGGTACAAAAGCCCAGAGTTCAATCCTGTTTATAAGTCTTCCTCAAGAGTAGGGTTGAAGTGGCAAAGTTCTGCCCACAGTCATGAAAACATCACCTGAACAAATATGTTCAAAAGGGGTTTAGCGCATTGTCTGCACAGCCAACGCTCCTAAAACCAGAGAAAGATGCAGCTGCACTGCAACTCCCAAAAGCCCTAATCAAAAGCCCAGCAAGATGGGAGTTGCAGTCTAGCAACACCAAAGGGCCGTATCCCCCTTATTCCTGAACTAGATCCTACAAGGATCACGCCCAGGGTATCGCGCCAAAGCAGAAGGAAAACGACACCGAGGCAAAACCAGACCATCCTAGAATTGCATCATTATGTGTTTGGGGGAAACTGAGGCAATAAAGAGATCCTTTTTATGAAAGAGAACATCTCCATTGTACCAGGGTTTCCCCCCTTTTCTCTCTTAAGAGTGTCAGCTCTTCCCCTCCTTCAAAAATAACAACACAGATTACATTCTGACTGTGAGGACAGGAAAAGGTGCAGAGTAACGCTGTTAAGATATAGTATTTATTACATATATATATTATATATATGTATATATAAAATATATATACATACATACATTTTGTACATTAAACTGAGCGGAAATCTACTCTTCTCCTTGTGATTTGGTTTTGTTCGTGTCCCAGTTTCAAGTCTGAAAGTCCAGCTTACATTCAAACAAACCCTGTCAACAAAGTCACAGGCAGATGGTGGCTGATGGTTCTGCCAATACAATGTTGTCTAAAAAAAATCCCACTATTTTTTTCCCCGTGCATTACATATCTATAAACTACCCTGAATTAAGTACAGTCTGGTCAAAATTATTGTTTTAAGTGTTAGTTTTGAACACAACAGGCTGGGGACGGATGCACCGTGTCAAAAGAACGTCAATGCCCCACCGGCGTCTTCCACAAGGTAAGGTAAAGGTAAAGGTAGTCCCCTGACATTAAGTCCAGTCATGTCTGACTCTGGGGTGTGGTGCTCATCTCCATTTCTAAGCCGAAGAGCCAGCGTTGTCCGTAGACACCTCCAAGGTCATGTGGCCGGCATGACTGCATGGAGCGCCGTTACCTTCCTGCCGGAGCGGTACCTATTGATCTACTCACATTTGCATTTTTCGAACTGCTAGGTTGGCAGAAGCTAGGGCTGACAGCGGAAGCTCACGCCGCTCCCCGGAATCGAACCTGCGACCTTTTGATCAACAAACTCAGCAGCTCAGTGCTTTAACCCACTGCGCCACTGGGGGCTCCCGTCTTCCACAAAGTTGTGTGTAAATTGGAGGAAAGTTTGGAGACTTCAATCTTAGAATTGCAGTCAGAAGGGAACCCAAAGGCTATCTAGCTCAATTGCATTCCGCCATGACAACACAATCTAAGCCCTCCAAACAGATGGCCATCCGGTCTCTGCCTCAAAAACCTCAAGGAAAAACCAGCAAAACAAATTCCATTGTTGAACAGGATTATTCTTTCCAATATTTAGGTGGGATCCATTTTCCTGCCACTTGAATCCATGCTCTGTATTATAGCTTCTATACTAGAAAACAAGCTAGTCCTCAACAGGGTGTTCTTTCAAATATTTCAACATGGATCTCACGTCCCTTTCTCTTCTCCTTAGCAAGTTGCCTAAGCCACTCTCCTCTAGAGGGATCCATAGTTCCCTGACCTCTGACCCATTTGTTCGGCCTTTTCTGGACACTTTCCAGCTTGTCCATGTCCCTCTTGAAGTGGATATTATTCCAGATGAGGTTTGATCAAAGCAGAATAGATTGGGACTATGATGTAGACTAGGTATGGGAAAACCCAGGCCCAGGGGTCGGATGCGGCCCCTTGGGCTCTTTTCTCAGGCCCTCCTCTTTCACCATCCTATCCTTCTTCCTTTCCTGCTACCTTCTCTCCATCTCCTTCTCTTCCATCCTTTCGTCCCTCCTTCTCTTCCTTTCTCCTCTCTTCCTTCCCTTTTGTCTTTCCTTCCTTCTCTTCCCATTTCCTTCCACCTTTGTCCTTCCTTCCTTCTCTTTCATCTTTCCCTCCCTTTACTTTCCTTCCTTCCCTTTTTCCTCCTTACCTCCCTCCCTTCTTCCATCCTTCCTTTCCTTTCCATTCTTCTTCCCTTCCTTCCATCTCTTTTCATTATCCTTCCCTTCCTCCCTTTCATCCTTCCTTCCTTCCCTCACTCCCTCTTTCTCCTTCCACTCTTCTCTTCCTCCGTGTCATAGAATCATAGAGTTGGAAGAGACTTCATGGGCCATCCAGTCCAACCCCCTGCCAAGAAGCCTTCCTTCCATCACTGGGCAGCCAGTTCTCCTAGCAGGGAGTGCTAACATGCAACCCCCAAGTTAGAAAGTTTGCCTAAGCCTAATGTAGACACTATACTCCTATGGATGCCACCTAGAATCTCATTGGCCTTTTGAGCTGCCACATCACACTGTGAGCCATTTTCAGATTGTGGCCTCCAAAGATTCCTAGATCCCCTTCACGTTTGCCTTACCATTGCTGTGCTTTCCCCTCCCCATAGAATGTAAGAGAAACTGGGAAGGGGACAAAAATTGGCTACTGGAGGGCATTTTCTTCCATCACTTTTTATATGTGGCTCCACCAATCCATAGAACATATTTAGAAAGCCCTCATTCACCCCACATTTAGAAAAAGGCACTGGGATTGACTGGGGAGGAGGGAATCATATATCCTAACCTGTATGGAGCATATGAGAGAATCCGGTTTTGTTTGTAGAGAACCACAAGAGGGATGGGAAGATGAACCAAAGCAATATCAAGCTTGCAAGCCATACTATGACTTTCTTTGCTTAGCTGAGGACTCTTTCGCTCCAATGTATAGTTATCCTTTACCCAGCTCACCTTTTAAAACCTCAATCATAGAGAAAAAATAGTAAACCCCAAGTCTCTTATCCCATGCCTCTCCAGGACTTAGCATTTAGGAAAAGATCCACTGGAATAATGAAAGGATGGCCCAAGCTCTGCTTTACCAAACGACCCCTCCTTGGCTTCGAAAGGAAAACCTATGCTCCAAAAGAGGCCGTTTTATTGTGAAGCGGATGCACGGTCCGAACAACAAGGCTTGGGCACTCTTTTCCCACCCCCTTCGAGTGATTTTTTCCCCCTACTTCGAGAAGGAAAAGTTTTCATTAAAGGGAGTGCCAGATTGGCACCGTCCCACCACCCATTCCCCCTTTCGCCACAGAGAAGCGTGCGATAATCCTCACTCCGTTCTGGGTCTCCCAGCGCTTCTCAGAGCCGAACCAAATGAAAACTTCATCCTCTCATTCGAGCCTGAAAAGCATAGGCTGAAATTCAGGAAAAATCAACAAGAAGTGCCACTACATTGGAGAAGCCATGTTTAGTGGATGGGAAGGTATTGGTTCGGACACGGGAATCAATGTTCAACTATTGCTTTCGTTTGTTGTTCACATTTCCCTCAATACAACTCCGGCTGTCCCTTGGCCTTTCTTCTCCCGGAAAAGCAAGGAACGGGTGACGAGAACGTCTTCCGGGTCGGTTACAGAGAAGAGAACTTGGATTCGGGGTTGGAAGAAGTATTTTCGGGGGAGACGAGTTCGGCTTCCCCGTCAACAAGTCCGTCCTCTGAGGCTCTTCTAAACACAGAATCCCTCAACAACTGGGGAGGGGATAAAGATGGCGTCGGTGGCGCCGTGTCCGCCGGGGAAACCTCCCCACTTGATGGGACCTCAAAGGCCACCTCTGCCAAGGTGTCACTGCCGATGAGGAAGCGGGTCATCACACTGGCAGCAACGGCCATATCCGGTAAGCCACCACCAGCCGCCGCATCCGGTTCGATCCCCGGGTCTAGGAAGGACCCGCTCAGGTTGGAGAGGAAGGAGGCTTCGGTGATGACGGCTGCCGTTTCTGCCACCCAGTTCATGTCGCTGCCTAAAGAAGCCACCGCAGCTGCTGCGTGGCCCTCCCCGGAGGCTTCTCCAACAGTACCGGCAGGGTCTAAATGGGGCCGGGCCCCAGCCAAGTCATTGGAAGCAACTGTCGTGTTATTATTGAGGTTGTCCTGAAGGGTGGTCTGAGCCCCTACTTGCTGATTCTGGAGCAGCATCTCCTGGATCCGGATTTGCTGTAGGATGGCTGGAAGCTCGTAATGGTGGAAGAAGTAGATCATAGAATGCTGCCAGGAAACACAAAGAGCAGAGAGAGAGAGAGACGGGATTAGGGCCACAAGTGCTGGGGAGTGAGCTCCTGCAAACGACATGGAAGAGAGGTGAAAAAAAGATGCTTCATATTGGGCTACAGCTGCCAAAATGGTTCAAACAATAGTCCCAAATTGAGATCATGAACCAAGGGCTATCTGACAGCCAGTCTGCTCTTGTCCTAACCCTCCTGACATCCAGCCTAAAAATCTGCCGAGAAGAAGACTCCATCACACTTATTCCACTGCCAAACAGTTCTGAAGTTCATGCCTCCTCTTAGTCCGCTTGGCAGTAAACAAGCCTGTCTCCTCCTCAATGTGGCCTCCTCTCAAATATGTAAACACTAGCTTGGGTCCCTGGCATTGCCCAGGATATTTGAAAAAGTCATTTTTTTAATGTACAAAATGCATAAAGTAGTGGATGAACTACAACTCACATCATGCCAGGTTAACCCCCCGAAAATCCATCAGTACTTAAAAGTTTGTTACATTGGGGAAGTTTGCTCTGGATGCATCATTGGTGGGGTTCAGTGTGCTCTCTGACTGTAGGGTAAACTACAACTCCCACTATAGTGAGTCAGTCCCCTCAAACTCCTCCAGTAGGTTGAGTGAGTCATGGAGGTACTGTGTGCCACGTTTGGTCCAGGTCCATCATCAGTGGAGGTCACCATTTCTCTGGTTGTAGGTGAACTACAACTCCCAGAAAAGAAGGTCAGTTCCTCCCAAACCCCTCCAGTAATCAAATTTGGGCATATCAAGTATGCATGCCAAGTTTGGTCCATATTCCTCATTGTCTGGGTTCATAGTGAACACTGGATGTAGGTGAACTACATCTCTCCCAAATCTAGGTGAATTTCTCCTAAAAAGACGTCCAGTATTTTTGGCTGGTCATGGGGACTCTGTTTGCCAAGTTTGATCCAATTCCATTTATGTGGAGTTCGGAGTGCTCACTGATTGCAGGTGAACTATACATCCCAGTACCTACAACTCCAAAATGTCCAGGCCAATTGCCCTCAAAATCCACCAGTACTCAAATGTGGACATATCGGGTATGCATGCCAAGTTTGGTCTGGAACTATCATTATTTGGGTTCATAGTGTGCTCTGGATGTAGGTGAACTACAACTCCTCTAAATCCCTCCAAAGACCTCCAGTAATTTTTGTTGGTCATGAGGGTTCTGTGTGACAAGTGAGTTTCAGGTCCATCGTTGGTGAGGTTCAGAGTGCTCTTGGATTGCAGGTGAACTATACATCCCAGTCCCTACAACTCTTTTAATCAAGATGAATTCTTCCCAAACCTCTCCAGTATGTTCACCTGCTGATCAATTCATCTGTTTGCTGTGTGGCATAGAAAAGGAAAGGGTGAAGGGACAGCCAGTGGGTGGGAGCATGCAAATTCCACACCAATGGAGAGAATCAGAAACACTGGGACATCTGTGGTGGAGGAAAAGCATAAAGTCTAGATGAAATGGTCCCCGCATGAAAGCCTTCACTTGGGCAGTGAGCACTATGGTGTTTGTGGAGGACATTGGCAGGGCTCTTGGACATGTTCAGGGCGCTCACTATAACCTGCAATGTCATTGGAGGGAGGACTTTTGGTGTCTCCTGAGTAGTAAGAGCAATAGCTGTTTGTGGAGGCGGGAGCTTGTCTGTGTAAGTGGACACCCCAACCACACACACACATCTATATTTTCACTTTTATTATGTGTATAGATAGATGGCTCTCATGTTCCCTTCTCTCAGCCTTTTCTTCTCCAAGCTAAATATTCCTCGCTTCCTAAGCCATTCCTCATTTTGATGGACATTCTCTGGACATGTTCTAACTTGTCAATATCCTTCTTAAATTGTGTGGTCCCGAACTCGATACAGGGTTATTCGAGGTGAGGTCTGACCAAAGCAGAAGAGAATGGGACGAAGACTTCAATCGATCTGCACACTAGACTCCTCTTGATGCAGCCTGGAATCACATTGGCTGTTTTAGTTGCTGCATTACATTCCTGACTTGCGTTTGACTTGGCTTATTAAGATGCCTAGATTCATTCCATATGGACTGCTTTTAAGCCAGGCATGTCGTTTTTATTGCCTGAGTGTAGTACCATACAGTTAAGGTAGTCTCCCTGTGCTCCACTGCAAGACCTCGCACAAAGGTCATGGTGAGATTAGCAAGAATGGACCCCAAAGGACGTTCTCCGCTCTGCCAGCGGAGAAAGGAATGAGAGGCATCCAAGTTCCTCTCTTTATAAAGAGGGAAGACTGGGCATGGAACATAGATGAGGCCAACTCCTGTAGGGAAAGGTTCACAAGGCTAAAGCGCAAAATGGGCCCAGGCTTGCCAGGGACATTAAAACACTCAAAAGGGCTCCTTTGTTTACATCGGAAGAATAAGGAGGCAATAGGGCTTCTGGAGAAGATGAGGAAATGCTAACATGAGATCGGGAAAAGGCAGAACTACTCAATGCCTTCTTTGCTTCAGTCTTCTCACAAAAAGAAAGTCGTCCTCAACCTCAGCAACATGGAATGGATGAAGGATGGGGGGAAATCCAACCCCAAAGAGGGAAACAAGTTGTCCAGGAATACCTGGCCGATCTAAACGGATTCAAGTCCACAGGGCTGTATCAATTGCATCCAAGAATATTGAAGGAAAAAGCAGAAGTAATCTCGGAACCATCTTTGAGAGTTCTTGGAGAATGAGACAAGTCCCAGCAGATTGGAGGAGGACAAATGTGGTCCCCTATCTATCTTAAAGAAGGGAAAAAAGGACGATCCCAAATCATTACCAGCTTCACGTTGACACCAGGCAAGATTCTGGAAAAGATTGTTAAGGAAGTGGTCTGCAAACACTTAGAAAGGAATGTGGTCATCGCTAATAGTCCACATGGATTGATCAAAACAAGTCATGCCAGGCTCATCTGACCCCTTTTTTCAATAGTTACAAGCTGGGTAGATGCAGGGAACACCGTGAATGGAGAATATCTGGATTTCAAGAAGGCCTTCCTTTGACAAGGTCCCCCATGACTTTCTGGCAAGGAAACTAGTCCAATGAGAGCTAGGCAGATCTGAATGTAATTGGTTAAGCGAATGAACCCAGAGGGTGATTCTCCCCAGTGCTTCCTCTTAATCCTGGAAAGAAGTGAGGAGTGCCATAAGCAGGGTTCTGTCCTGGCCCCAGTTCTGTTCAACCTCTTTATTCATGACTTAAATGAAGGGTTAGAAACCTAGGTCGGGGTAAGCACCCAACCTTCAGCCCAGCTCACTGTCCACTTAAGGAGTTTGAAAACAGCTGTGAGCTGCGAGTGGAGAAATTAAGCACCCTTAAGTGGGGAGATATTTTACAGCACCATAAAGGTAATACCAGGAAAATGCTGATGATCAAAAGGAGGAAGTCTGTGATCAAGGTTCTTTGTCATAGAGCAGTGTTTCTCAACCTGGGGGTCTGGACCCTTGGGGGATGGGTCACGAAGTGTCAGAGGGCCATCGGAAAACATGGTCATGAGGGTTCTGTTCGTTGATGGGGTTCAGAATGCTCTTTGATTGTAGGTGAACTATAAATCTCAGCAACTACAACTCCCAAATGTCAAGGTCTATTTTTCACAAACTCCACCCGTGTTCACATTTGGGCATATCGAGTATTTGTGCTAAGTTTGGTCCAGATCCATCATTGCTTGAGTTCATAGCAATGGATGTAGGTGAACTACAACTCTCAAACTCTAGGTCAATGCCCACCAGACCCTTCGTATTTTCTGTTGGTCATGGGAGTTCTGTGCACCAAGTTTGGTTCAATTCCATTGTTGATGGAGTTCAGAATGCTCTTTGATTGTAGGTGCACTATAAATCCCAGCAACGACAGCTCCCAAATGACAAAATCAATCCCCCCCTAACCTCACCAGTATTCAAATTTGGGTATTTGCGCCAAATTGGGTTTAGTGAATGAAAATACATTCTGCCTATCAGATATTTACATGACGATTCATAACAGTAGCAAAATTACAGTTATGAAGTAGCAACTAAAATACTTTTATGTTTGGGTGTCACCACAACACGAGGAACTGTATTAAGGGGTCACGGCATTAGGAAGGTGGAGAACCACTGTAATACAGGATGGAGCAACAGCACCCCCCTATGGCCGGAAATGAGCACAACCTCCAGGACACCAAAGTTGGGGGGAAATGCCTCTATCTGTTGTCTGTGCTGTGTGTTTAATGGCACTGAATTTGCCGTGTATGTATTCTGTGATCCACTCCGCATCCCCTTTGGCGTGAGAGGGATCAGATATAAATGTAGTAAATAATAATAGTAATAACAACAACAACAATAATAGAAGGTATAATCATCAAGTTTGCAGATGGGACCAAACTGGGGGAGCCAAAACTCCAGACGTCAGGAGCAGAATTCAAAATGATCTTCACAGATTAGAGAAATGATTGGCCAAAACTAACACAATGAAGTTCAATAGGGGAAAATGCAAGATACTCCACTGAGGCAGAAAAAAGGAAATGCACAGAGACAGACTGGGAAATGATGCCTGGCTCGATAGTAGGGCGTGTGAAAAAGATCTTGGAGTACTCGTGGACAGGAAGGTGAACATAAGCAGTGTGACGCAGCAGATCAAAAAGTCAATGGGATTTTGGCCTGCATCAACAGGAGTCTAGTGTCCAGATCCAGGGAAGTCATGCTACCCCTCTATTCGGCCTTTACCTGGAATCACACTGTGTCCAATTCTGGGCACCACAATTGAAGGAAGATGTTGACAAGCCAGAATGTGTCCAGAGGAGAGCAGCTCAAAGGATCAAGGGTCTGGAGAACAATCCCTATGAGTAGTGGCCTCAAAAATCTGGACATGTTTAGCCTGCAGAAGAGAAGGCTGAGAGGAGATATGATGAGAGCCAGGTATCAAGAGTTATGGGGAAGTCATAAGGAGGAGGGAGCAAGCTTGTTTTCTTCTGCCTTGGAGACTAGGACGCAATGGAACAATGGCTTCACACTACAAGAAAGAAAGGAGATGCCACGTGAACATGAGGAAGAACTTCCTAACAGTGAAATGGAGCTGTTCAGCAGTGGAACTCTCTCTCTCTGCCCAGAGTGTGGTGGAGGCTCCTTCTTTGGAGGCTTTGAAACAGAGGCTAGATGGCCATCTGTTGGGGGTGCTTTGAATGTGATTTTCCTGCTTCTTGGCACAATGGGGTTGGACTGGATGGCCCACCATCCAATTGGTCTCTTCCAACTCTATGATTCTATGAAGCAAGATGCAACAGAAGTGCTTTGAGAGGCCCTGTTCTGGGGCAAAACAGAAAGCAGAAAGCTAAGATTATAATGAGAAAACAAGCAGACTGTAATGCTGAAGGCAGCAGGGGAAACAAAAAAGAAAGATGGTTAAACTCTACCAAGGAAGCCATGGCTGCTCTATGTCTACAAGTGCCAAAGAGTGGTTTGGAGGCGACAAAAAGCAAGAAAGAATGGCATCCAGCCACTGGGGATATAGTTTAAGAATTGCATTACACAATTCCTTCTCCTTTAAAGCTGATGTTGAGCCAATAATAATAATAATAATAATAATAATAATAATAATAATAATAATCTTTATTTATACCCTGCCACCATCTCCCCAAGGGACTTGGAGCGGCTTACATGAGGCCAAGCTCAACAACACATCCCTTTTAGGCTAGGAAAGTCTCTCAACGCCCTTCAGTCATACCAGACGACAGCTCCCAGCATCCAACCCAACCCCAAGGAAGATAGGAAAGGTTGATCTTGAATGTTGAGATGGTGTCTGATCCAACAGAGTGAAGGTTGGCACACCTTGAAGGTAGAAAAAGGTGCCTTACCTGTATGAAAAGCCAGGAGGTGACCAGCGCAAGACTGCTGTATTGCCCATTGAAGCGGTAATGGTAAGCATAGAAGGCAAAATGGTAGAGGTAGAAAAACCTGGAGGGGAGGAGAAGAGGAGGGCTTGTGAGAAACAATGGCATTGGTGCCTAAATTAGAGTATTTCCCCTCCTGATTCAAAGAGTGGTCTCTCTCTCTATTCAAAACAGACAGCCCCCCTACATCCATACCTCAGCCAGTGTCTCTTGCTGGTGTTGGTGTGGCAGCAAATGGCATCGTACTGGTCGGCCAGCCACACAATTAGGATGATGTAGAAGGCCGTGGTGGTGTCATTGAAGAACTCTGACATTATGGCTTCCATGCCTGGCAGAAGAGGAGGAAAGAAACATCAACTTTTCCAGCTTCTCCAATCCAAGAAAGCATTCCCAGTGATGCTGAAATGGCATTACTTCGGACCGCAGGAAGCAAGAATAGCACCATGACTCCATTTAACTGGGGAATCCTGGGATTTGCAGAGTTCTCAATATGTTTCTCTGCCGTCAAGCTGCTGTCCCTCTCCCAAAATAGCTGATACATATATTTATTCCTTTCACCATTTTCCATTTTTCGTACACCATTTCCGTTTCAGCGGCCAAACTCTCACAGTCCATTTTTAACTAGGAATTTTAAGCCCATGGCCTGTGTTTATGGCATTTTAAACTTTGCTCTGTACGTATTTCATATACTGTATATACTCGAGTAGAAGCCGACCCGAATATAAGCCGAGGCACACTAATTTTGCCACAAAAAAATGGGAAAACTTATTGACTCAACTGTAAGCCGGGGGTGAGAAATGCAGCAGCTACTGGGAAATTTCACAATAAAAAGAGATACCAATACAATTACATTAATTGAGGCATCAGTGGGTTAAATATTTTTGAATATTTATAAAGAACTGTAATTTAAGATAAGACTGTCCAACTCTGATTGAACCATTGTTCTAACCTTCTTCAATGTAAATGTGCTTACATATCCTTCCAATAATAAATAGAGTAAAATAATAAATGTAAGAAAAATAATAATAGAGTAAAATAATGGAAATGTAATAACAGTAAGAGTAAAATAAATGTAATAATGATAATAGAGTAAAATAATAAACGTAATAATAATAGAGTACAATAATAAATGTAATGATAACAACAACAACAGAGTAAAATGATAAAGAAAGTTGACTCAAGTATAAGCTGAGGGGGGCTTTTCCAGGCTAAAAAAAGGCTAAAAAACTCAAGCATATACAGCATGTGTTTTACATAAATGTTTGATGATGAAGTGTTGTAACTATGTTGTGCTCCTCCTTGAGGAGAGGCAGATAACAACAACAACAACAACAACAATAATAATAATAATAATTGTTATTATTATACATTTTAATATGCCAATAGCTTTGTTCCTTTGTTTTACTTTTCACAAATATTCAGTAAGGGATTCTGGAGATGAATAATAATAATAATAATAATAATAATAATAATAATAATAATAATAATAATAATGCTTTTAATATGCCAAAGGGATTTTCCCCTTTGTTTTGCTCTTTGCACATGCTCAGTAAGGATTCTGTGGGTAGCTATTTACCTCACCCATTAAAAGCCAACACATACAGCTACAACATAATTTCATAAAACACAATCTGGTCTTTTTCCAGTTGACATATTTCTGAAACCCTATGTTTGTTCAGTCTTCATTTCCCATCCTGTAATGTGGATGCTGCTAAAAAGCCTCCAGCTAGACAGAGTATGAAAATAGTTGGGGGGGGGGGGGAGACGTTGAAAAAGTCTTGGCAAAGGAAAGCGTCATGCCCAGGGGTTTTGCTAACCAAATGACAACTGTCTAAAGATCAGGAAGCTCTCCCTATCGAAACAAATACAGATTAAAGATAGCAGGTATCTTCTTCCTGTCAACCAGAGCAGACGAGGGTTCAAAGGTCGCCATCTTACCTACGAGGGCCAAAATGACCGTCAGCAAAGGGGCTGCTGGGAAAGCAATGGTCATGTTCATTTCCAGCATTTGCAGCAGGTCCACTGTGGAAGAAGAAAAGGAGTCAGAAATATCTGGCTGGGGACTACGAGCCAAAGGGGAAGCCCACGACCTGGTGAAAGAACTCCGAAACCCATCAGCTGACTAGCAGACAGGCAGAAATAGCAAGAGGCTTACCGATAAAAACGAAGATTTGGTGATGCGAGTATCGCAACAGCATGGAGACTGAGAGGGTCTGGAAAGAGAAGGGCAGCAAAACTTATTATTATTAATGTCTTATAATAATAATAACCCTGTTTCTTCTCTCCATAAGATTTCTGTCTGGATCACTTTTATCAACTCTCAAAAGCAGTCTTGGGAACCAACGCCTGCAAAAGTCATCAAGTCGACTCTCAACAATGAAACCAAATACTCACAAAAATCACCATGATGACGAAAGCAGCCAAGTAGGAAGTCCTGGCCATCCACATGCTGATGAAGCGGTAGTGCTCCCCAGACACCACATTGCGAAGGAACCCTGGATGCCAGTGAGAAAGGAGAAGTTGTTCAAAAAGGACCTCTGCAATTTGTCTCATGAGTTGGCTGGAAAGCCATTCATTTTGCACCTATGGATTCAATTGTCCATGCTTTAAAATATTCCCCCAAAACACCCAAAAGTAAACCTTGCATTTGCCTCTTGGTACAACAGATGCCATTTCCTTACACTATTATAACTAATAGGACTTCAGTGTTCATGGATTTGGGTATCCAAAAGGATTCCTAAAACCAAACCCTGGAGGATATTAAAGGCCTTGTTTTTCATCACACACACAACAAAGTTCTGGAGAGATTTATCCTGCACAGAATTATGGAAAAAATAGACCCATTTATGATCCCACAGCAAGCTGGTTTCAGGAAAGGGAAAAGCTGGAAATCACAAGTGCTGAGCCTGACTCAACACATAGAAGATGGTTTTGAAAAGCAGCAGATGACCGGAGCTGTCTTCATAGACCTGTCAGCAGCCTTTGATACTGCAAATCATTGCCTTCTCCTGAGAAAAAATGTGTAATATCACAAAGGACTACTACCTCACCCTCTTCACAGCAAATCTGCTACAAAACAGAAGCTTTTTTGTTGGGTTCTAGAGTCAGAGAAACAGATGGTGAAGACAGAAGAATGGCCTGCCTGAGGGGAGCATGCTTGCTCCATCCATGCTCTTACGGCCTATTACAGGAAAAACCAGCTGATTCCTCATCCATCTAAAACGTAGACGTGTGCTTTTCACCTTAAGAACAGACAAGCATCTCGAGCTCTGAGGATTACCTGGGAAGGAATCCCACTGGAGCATTGCAACTCACCAAAATACCAGGGAGTCACTCTGGACCGTGCTCTGATTCACAAGAAGCACTGCTTGAATATCAAGCAAAAAGTGGGTACTAGAAATAATATCATACAAAAGCTGACTGGCACAACCTGGAGATCACAACCAGAAACAGTGAAGACATCTGCCCTTGCGCTTTGCTTCTCTACTGCTGAATATGCATGCCCAGTGTGGAATACATCTCACCATGTTAAAACAGTGGGTGTGGCTCTTAATGAGACATGCCGCACTATCACAGGATGTCTATGCCCAACACCGCTGGAGAAATTATACTGTTTAGCCGGTATTGCACCACCTGACATCCATCGAGAAGTAGCAGCCTGTAATGAAAGGAACAAGGCATGCACATCTCCGGCCCATCCCTTGTTCGGGTTTCAGCCAGTAAGCCAACGTCTTAAATCAAGAAATAGCTGCCAAAGGTCTACAGAGATACTTGCAGGAACACCTCAGCAAGCGAGAGTTCAAAAGTGGCAGGTTACAACCCAGAACCTCAATTAGTGGCTGACACCGGATGAGAGACTCCCTCCTGGACACACAGAAGAGTGGACAACCTTGAGGGTGCTGAACAGGCTGTGCTCTGGCACCATGAGATGCAGAGTCAACCTTAAGAGATGGGGTTACAAAGTGGAGTCTATCACATGCAAGTGCGGAGCCAAACCACAGACTATACTGCCATGCAGTCTGAGTCCTGCCATATGTACAATGGAGGACCTTCCCACAGCCACACCAGAGGCACTCCAAGTGGCCAGCTTCTAGTCAAAGGACATTTAGTATAATGCCACATTTTTAACTTTGTTTGTGGTTTTAAATACATTATAACTGTATCCTCAATTCACTTCTGACATGATAAATAATACATACCAATCTGCTCAATTGCTGTATTAATATCTCCAAAGAATAATAACTTTATTTATCACACGCCTCTCCTTTCAGCTCGTATAGTTAAATATAGCTATAAATCCACATATTTCAACATAGTAATAACTGCAATCATAAAAGCATAGATAAAAACAAAGTTTATTTTTAATGGAACCTCATTGCCATGTTACATATTAAAACACAGTTGAAACTGCAATCATAAAAGCAAAGAAGGAGAGTTTTAATATTTCAATGGAATCCTTTGCCATTTCTTTCCAGATTCTAGTCTAGCCTCTCAGAAAACAAGATGGCACCCTTTCAGATATCTTCCTCTCGTATTGTCTCTCACATTTTCTCCAGATGGAAACTCCCAGCATCCCCCCGCCCAAATGACTGCAGATCATTGCAGGGAAAACCCCTTAAAAAGGTAGAGCAGCCCCTCTTTCCAGTTACCTTTATTCTCTTCATTTTCAGCTAAAGCCTTGACACTGGACATGAGGATGTCATCGTAGCCTAGGAATTCATCCAGCAAAAGCCGGCTGAACCGGTCGCCAAAGCACTGGTCTCGGGTAGGATCTGGAGACAGAGAATAATAATAATAATCTTAATCTATACACATAATAAAAGTGAAAATATGTATATGTGTATGTGGCTGGGGTGCCCACTTACACAGACAAGCTTCTGCCTCCACAAACAGACATAGCTCCCACGACTCAGGGGACACCAATGGCCCTCCCTCCAGTAACATTGCAGGTTAGAGCAAGTACCATGAACATGTCCAAGAGCCCTGCCAACATCCCTCACAAACACCACCCTGCCCACCACCCAAGTGAGGGCTTTCATACGTGGACAATTCATAGATTTTCTTTTTTTTTCCTCCACCGCAGACAACCCTGTGTTTCCTTCTCTCTCCACTGGTGTGAAGACTGCCTCTACCTTAACCCTTTCCTATGGCACACAGCAAACAGAGAGGAATTGATCAGCAACTGAACATACTGGAGGGGGTTTGGGGAACTGACTCAACATGATGGAAGTTGTAGTTCACTCTGCATCAAGACAGAGCACTGTGATCCCCTCTCACAATGAACCTGGGCCACATATGGCACATAGAACTCCAACAAAAAAAATACTGGAGAGGTTTGGGAGGAATTCACCTTGAGTTAAATGATTTGTAGGTACTGAGATTTATAGTTCGCCTGCAATCAAAGAGCACTCTGAACCTCACCAAAAAGGGAATTGGATCAAACTTGGCATACAGAAGCCCTATGAACAACAAAAGATACAGAAGGGCTTTGGTGAAAATTCACCTTGATTTATAGGAACTATAGTTCACCTACATCCAGAGAGCACTGTGAACACAAACATGGATGGATCTGCACCAAATTTGGCACGGATACCCAATATGCCAAAATTTGAATACTGGTGGGTTTGGGGTGGAATTGGCCTTGATATTTGCTACTTGTAGGTACTAGGATTTATAGTTCACCTGCAACCAAAGAGCACTCCGAACCTCACCGATGATGGACCTGGACCTAACTTGGGACACAGAACCCCCATGGCCAACTGAATGTACTGGAGGGATTTGATGAAACTGACCCACCATGGTGGAAGTTGTAATTTCATCCTGCAGCTGGAGAGCATACTGAACTCCAACAATGCAGCATCTAGAGTAAACTTGCCCAACACGACAAACATTAAGTATTGATGGAGTTTCAGGGGGTTAAACTGGCATGATGTGAGTTGTAGTTCATCCACAACCTTATGCATTTTGTAAAATAAAAAAATGACTTCTTCTAATAACCCAGGCAACACCGGGTACCCAAGCTAGTATTAAATAATAACCATTAAAAGCCAGCCAAAGTGGAGTGTCATATCAATTTCATTTCCATTCATCATCATAATATGCTCTTTTTATGATCAGGAAATAATAATGTGCTCTTTTATTTATTATTATTAAATCGTCATCATCATCATCATCATCATCATCATCATCATCATCATCATGTTCTTTTTATGGCCAGGAAATAATAATAATAAATGTGCTCTTTCTATGGCCAGGAAAATAGACATATGAAAGGTTACTGTAGAGTTTCTTGGTAAGATTTGTTAAGAATCTGCCCAAGAAACCTTTTACTGTTTTGCCATGGCTTTCCCCTGAGAGCGAGACTTGCTCAAAGTCACTCGGGGAGTTTCAACAGCTAAGTGGAGATTCGAACTTTGCTCCAGAGTCCAATATCCAAATATTACGATCTCAATGGGGAACAGAGCTCTTCAAACACGAAGTATGTCTTCCTGGCTCAAGGAGCTGTTCAGAGCAGCTAAATCTCACAATTGTCTGAGAAGCCCAAAAAGGACACTCACCTAACGTCACCACCATGACGGGAATGCTGAGGCGCTGGCGGGTGCTTTGGGACAAGCGCAAGAAGCCGTATTCGAAGGAATACTCCACAATGTACTCCTCTTGGGGCCAGACTGGGAAACGAAAGGGAAGCAAAGCAGTGTTAAAAGGAGGGCTGCACCATGGGCCAGCTTTCGTTCACACCCATCCAAGCTCAGTGTTTCAAGTCAGCAAAGAGATCGCAAACGAGGGCCTTTTTCTTGGTTACGTTATGTACCAAATAGGCAGTATAATGAACAATATGTTAAAACAGGCAGTATAATATACAACCTACTAATTCATTTGTATCCCGCCTTTCTCCCGCTATAGGAATTCAAGGCGGCAAATGCAATAAAAACCAAGCAAATGCGTTGAAATACGAATAGAAAGATGAAAAGACAATTGGCTCCTTTGTGTCACACAACAGAGAAAGATGACAATACATTTATATATTGTCATAGTTTTAACTTAGAAGCTGCCTTGAGTCCCCACTTTTGGATAAAAGGATAAGAGACAACAATAACGATGGCAAGAACAATAATGACAATGCCAACAATGCCAACAACAACCTCTTCCCCACTGCATTCTTTTTATGAAAGTAGCCTGGACTACTCCCCCCTCCTCCCCCCATAGATACCCTAACCAAGCCCCATTTCCCAAAGTACCCTGGTCAGATAGGGGCCTTTTATCTGAAATGGTAAGAGTGGCATGTTCTGCTGCCTTGGAGTGCATTGAGGTCTCCTTCCCTCTTTCTCCTCTCTTCCCTTGCTTTTTATTTCTCTTCTCCTCTCTTGCCCTTCTTCTTTCCTTCTCTTCGCTTCCTTTCCCTGCTCATCAGCAGTTCCTTTGACTTCTTTCTCTTGCCCTTCTTCTTTCATTCCTTTTCTCTTCTCTTCCCTTTGCCGTTTCTCTTGCCTTTCCTTCCTTCCCGTTTCTCTTCTTTCCCTTTTCTCTTGCTCTTTCTTTCCTTCTTTTTCTCTTCCCTTCTCTTGCCCTTCCTTCCTTCCTTCCCTTTTCTTTCTTCCCTTCCTTTTTCTCTTCCCTTCTTTCCCTTTTCTCTTGTCCTCCTTTCCTTTCTTTTCTCTTCCTTCCCTTTTCTCTTCCTTCCCCTTGCCTTTTCTTTTACTCGTCCTTCTTCCCTTGCTTTTCTCTTGCCCTTTCTTCCTTTTCTCTTCCCTTCCTTCCCTTTGCCTTTTCTCTTGCCCTCCCTTTTCTCTTGCTATTCCTTCCCTTTGCCTTTTCTCTTGCTCTTCCTTCTTTCCTTCCTTTTCTCTTGCCAACCCTTCCCTTTTCTCTCCTTCCTTCCTGTTGCCTTTTCTCTTGCCCTTCCTTCTTTCCTTTCTTTAATCTTCTCTTCCCTTCCTTCTCTTTGCCTTTTCTCTCACCCTTCTTTCCTTCCTTTTACTCTTCTCTTCCCACCCTTTCCTTTGCCTCTTTTTCCCTTGCCCTCCCTCTCTTACCTTTTCTCTTCTCTTCCCTTCCTTTGCCTTCTTTTCTCCTGTCCTTCCTTCCTCCTTCCTTTTTCTCTTCTCTTCTTTTGCTTTCTTTTGCCTTTCCTTAACCAGCCTCCTCCTGCCACTTGAGGATTAGGAGGACCCCCTCCAACCCTATTCCCCCCATCTGGGGTTTAGTGGGTTTGGAGCAGTGGTTCCCAACCTTTTATTGAATCTGATTCTCTTGAGGAGTTTTGGTGTAAAAAAAAAAACCCCAATGTTTTGTATTAATTATGTTCATTGACTTTGTAATTGTAATGACTATTATGGATATTGGTGTATTTATGTGTTATGACACGATATGTGCAGTTGTGTAGGCCACCCCGTGTCTCTTATTGGGAGATGGTGGCGAGATATAAATAAGTACTACTATTATTGTTGAAACTTGTGGACCCTGCTAACAAGAAAAAAAAATCAAAGTGGTCCCTGACCAAAAAAAACTTGGGAACCACTGCTCTAGAGTCAGAGCACACTGCTCAAATCATGAACAAATGACACATTTGTTCTTAAAATAGAACTTCCATTTAAACGGCAGAAGTCCTTATTTCAAGAGCGAGTTCTTCCTTTGTTTGGTCAAAATAAAATGGTTGTGTCACAGTAATTATTTGACAAATTACAAGAAATTCATTAAAAGACAGTGTGATAAATTCCTCAAAGAGGCATAGAGATGACGACCAGTCCCCAATTCTTTGCAGAACCCCCGATTCTAAATCTTTTCATCTAAACCAGAACTCTTCCAACCTGTGCCCCTTCAGGTGTTTTGGTCTTCAGCTCCCAGAATTCCTTTCCATTGGATAAGCTGGCAAGGGGTTTTGGGAATTGCAGTTCCAAACACCTGGAGGGTCAAAGGTTGGAAGAGGCCTGATCTAAATGATCGAATTAGGGACCGCGGTGGCACAATGGGTTAAACCCTAGTGCTGCTGAACTGTTCATCTGAAGTTTGGCAGTTCGAATCTGTGAGACAGGGTGAGCTCCCACTGTCAGCCCCAGCTCCTGCCAACCTAGCAGTTTGAATACATGCAAATGTGAGTAGATCAAAGGTACTGCTTCACTGGGAAAAGGCAAAGATACACTCCAAGCAATCTTGCCTGCCACATGACCAGAAAGTGCCTATGACAATACAAGCTCCTTGGCTTGGAAACAAAAAAAAGCACCTCCCCCAGAGCCAGAAATGAGCACCGCTTCCAGAAGCCGGAAATGAAAGGGGCAGCCTTTGTCTGTCTATTTTTGATTTACTGTACTTCCATTTGTAACAAGGCATTAAACGCGAAGGGGGGGGGGAATATAAAGTGTTGTTGTTGTTGTTATTCTTATTGCCATTTGATGGCTTTGGATTGCATGCTATGAAAGATTGTAGTTTTGCAAGGTGTTTTGCCTTCTTTACCCAAGAGGTCCAGTGCTCTGGCAAACTACAATCCCAGGACTCCATAGCAGTGACCCATCGCAGTTCACGCAGTGTCAAACTTCATTAATTCTACAGCATCCCAAGAAGTGTCTGTTTTAGGAAGAACATTGTTTCTCAACCTTCCTAATGCCGCAACAGTTCATGTTGTGGTGATACCAACCATAAAATTATTTTCATTAATAATTTGGGAGTTGTCGTTGCTGGGATTTATAGTTCACCTACAATCAAAGAGCATTCTGAACTCAACCAACAATGGAACTGAACCAAACTTGGCACACAGAACTCCCATGACCAACAGAAAATACTGCAAGGGTTTGGTGGGTATTGACTTTGAGCTTAGGAGTTGTAGTTCACCTACATCCAGAGAACACTGTGGATTCAAACAATGATGGAACTGGATCAAACTTAGCACGAATACTCAATATGCCCAAATGTGAACACTGCTGGAGGTTGGGGAAAATAGACCTTGACATTTGGGAGTTGTAGTTGCTGGGATTTATAGTTCACCTACAATCAAAGAGCATTCTGAACCACATCAATAATAGAATTGGGCCAAACTTCCCATACAGAATGCCCATGCCTTGAAGGGTCTCACTAACGCAAACCTCCCTCCAGCCTCATACATTCTCCCTCACCCACACATGCACACCACGCTGCCATGCACCGAGTACACCTGCTCTCCCCTGCCTGCTTGGAGTCTCAGACACAGCCCTCTTGACTTAGAGGCAGCCGAGACGCCGGACAAACATAGCAGAGGAGGGATTTTGTGGGAGGATTCACCATCTGTTTCCAAAAAGGAAGAGAAGGACAGGCAGAGAGATCTTCAACCTTCTCTTTTCTGATGACCTTCTCTGTCAAAGACCATCAGAAATAATGTTTTTTGATGGTCTTTGGCAGCTTCTCTAAAATCCCTTTGCGACCCCCGCAGGGGTCCTGACCCCCAGATTGAGAAACGTTGAGGTAGAGTCTCGTTCATGAGCATGGTTGAGATTTCACTGGGAGATAACGAAGAGATGGAGAGAGGTGGAATGGGAATTCTAAAGGGATGGAAAAGATGAGAAGATAAGGGAAAGATGCAAATGAGCCGGAAAGGGGGTGGGGGAGAGGAAGGGGAGCCATATAAGTGCCTTTACCTGCTTTGGCTAGCATCTCAAACTCGGACACAGTCTCGCTGAGGGGCTCCATACCTTTAGAAGCCGTCTCGTCAGTGAAAGAGAACTCCTGGCTTTCGTTGGGGGCCAGCACTTTGGCGCCGTTCAGCCGCGAGGGCTTGAGGTAGACCTTCGGTTCAATGTCCAGCTCAAACTGGAAACAGGAAAGGAGAAACACATTATAGAAACCCCAAAGTCAAAAGAGACCCCAAGGGCCATCCAGCTCAACCCTCTCTTGACACAAACCAAGCCTTCCCCAGTCAGCAGCTTCTTCCAAACAGTGCTTCTTTGGGGTCCTATTACCAAGGATAGCCATTATTAGGCCAGTTTGATTGCTCCAGTGCTTTAATCCCCTCGTCGGAAGGGATAGAATGGGAAGGCGTATGGAGAGAATTAAGTAAAATTAAGAAGCAAATAGAGTGAGTTAAATCTGGAGGGGATTTCTCACACTAATCTGGACTCCGCTCCTGTTTGCTCGTGTGGAACGAGAACATGGGGAGGGAATAATTTTTAAATGGTGAATTCCTGCGCAAACGTGAAAAGTTTTTAGTCCAATGTGAGCCCAGCAAATTTGCATGAGCCAGTTCTTTCCTCTGACATATCGCCTGGGATTTGTTGCGGGTTTCCCATCCGAGGACTAACTATAGGTGGCCTTGCTTCTCCTACAAGATCAGATAGGATAGAGCTCCTTTAGGGTAGGGGACACTCAACACACAATAATAGAAAGTCAAGTGGTAACACCCACGTGAAAAGGTCCACCAGAAGGAACAGGGGGAAAGGGCATCCCAATACCTTGATGGAGCTGTTCTGGAACATCTCCACGGTCATCTCTTCTTCCTCCTCCTCCTCTTCTTCCTCCATTGCCGTCGCTGGCTCCACTGCCATTCCAGGGAACCGGTCGTCCTCACAAAACTGGAGGAAGATGGGAGCGCGGCTGGAGTTGCGCTGGATCTCAACCCTCAGGATGCCGTCCCGGGGCCACTTGTCCCGAACGTGTTCCAGGCAGTTTATGGGGGAGCGGGAGAAGGCGATGTGAATGTAGGCCAGGATGAAGAGCACAAACAGAGCCTGCAGGACACAGACCAAGGAGGCTTTTAAACAGAAGCTAGATGGCCATCAGCATGGCAAGGGGTTGGACTAGATGGCCCATATGGTCTCTTCCAATTCAATGATTCTGGGCAGCTTGGAGGATGTTGACAACCCAAGCAGCCCTGTTGCACAGAATGACAGAGTTGGAAGAGACCCCAAAGGACCATCCAATCCAACCCCGATGGGCTATCCAGGCATAGATATTATTTAATGTGTTGTCGAAGGCTTTCATGGCCGGAATCACTCTAAAAACAGAATTCCAGACAGGAAACAATCTAGGCCACCTAACACCTCTTAACAAACGATCCCCACAGGCAGGAAGCAGACAGTCTTTGAAGATGCAAGGCCATTCAATGTTAATTAATGTGGCCAACTGCAACATTCCCACTTTCCTCCAACAGACGAGAGTTCTTTTTTCCACCCTAGACATTCCACAGATATATAAACCCCACTTGCCTAGTTTCTCACAGACCTCACAACCTCTGAGGATGCCTGCCATAGATATGGGCGAAACACCAGGAGATAATGCTTCTGGATCAGAAAGTTCGGGGACAGCCCAGAAAACTTGCAACAACTCACTGTAATATTCTGTTATGTCCCTCCCTATCTGCCTTACCTTGAGGAGAACAAAGAACTCAAATACGCGTCGAAAGGATGGTGGGAAAAGGCGGGCATAGGTCACGGCCATCTTGAAGAAGAGTGCATGGAAAAGGCGGTCCCGAACATTGATAAGTGGGTTCTGGTTGAGGTTACGGACCCCTCGGTTGTTCCCTGGGGGTCCCCCGACATTATTGTTGGTGGGATGATGGGGATTGTTGGCCTGATTGTCCGACATCCTTGATGGCTTCCTGCAGACTTGCTTCCGAGTATTTCCAAGCTTTAAATATCCAGTTTTGGCCTGTGCAAATGCCAGTCCGCAAGCACAGAGCAATCAGAAAGGCACTCAATAAAGAAACTTTAAAAAACAAGAGTACAGGGAATTGCTTCTCAACGGAGAATACAGGGTATTGCTCTCAGGAAACCCCTCAAAAATAAAAATACTAGCTAGGAATGAATGTCCTAGAAACTGAGTAATAGACAAAGCAACGTTTCATTAAAATAGAAAGTTGGGGGAATTGCCTTGATAACATTAGGATGGAAGCCCAAAAGAATGCAGTAATTTAAGCCGTTTAGATGTTGAGCATCATAAATATGGATTAAACGAAACTTTTAGGGCTTGGGATGTCCTAAAACGCAAAACAGAAAAGGATGAGATGGAAATATGACTCGCTAGAAGGAAAGAAAGAGTGTGGGAATATTTGGAAGCACCTGTTTTTTAGATGAAATTACTCCCAGGATGTCAAACTGAATGAAAGGGAATCCAATGTGAGAAGAAACAGAAAATTGCTGTTTTGTTTTGTTTTTTTGAGGGGGGAAATTAGATATTCAGAAGACATTCAAATGGTGTGTGAATTGAAAGCAAAATAAGGAATCAGATTTGAAAAAGAATAAATAAAAGTGAAGGAATAGCTCAAAGAAGCCGAAGAAGGGGAACAGAGATTTCAAAAAGGATAAAGTGAGAGAAAAGTAATAGCTATTTCAGAATATCCAAAGAGTAGGGAATAAATAAAGTGGGAAGAAAGAAATAGCTACCTCAGAATATCTATTTAAATATAGATTTAAATAGAATAAAGTGAAAAGGAATAGCTATCTCAGAATATCAAAAAAGAATATAAATTGAGAAAGAAATACATAAAGTGAAAATAAAATAACAGCAACTTCAGAAGAGAAGAAAATAGATTGAGAAAGGAATAAATAAAGTGAGAGGAAAGCAATAGTTATTTTAAATCAAGTGAAAAGAAAAGACAACCTTAGAGAATATAGATTGAGAAAGGACTATACAAAGTGGGAAGAAAATAATGGCAACCTCAGAATTATCTGAAGAGGAAAATATAGACAGAGATAGGAATAAAGTGAGAGGAAAGGAACAGATAACTCAGAATATCTATTTAAATATAGATTTAAATAGCATAAACAAGATGGGAAGAAAAGAATGGCAACCTCAGAATTATCTGAAGAAGAGAAGAGAATTATCTGAAGAAGAGAATATAGATTTAGAGACTGAAGAGGAGGCTATAGATTGAGAAAAGAATACATACAGTGAAAAGAAAAGAACAGCAACTTCAGAATATAGATTTGGAAAGGAATAAAGTGGGAAGAAAAGAACTACAACCTCAGAATTACCCGAAGAGAAGAATAAAGAGAAGAATATAGATTGAGAAAGGAATAAAGTGAGAAGAAAGGAACAGCTATCTCAGAATATCCAAAGAGGAGAATGTGGATTTGGAAAGGAATAAAGTGGGAAGATAGAATTACCTGAAGAGAATACAGACTGAGAAAGGAATAAAGTCAGAAGAAAGCGGTGTGAACTGCTAGAAAAGAAAAAGACGTGCAAAGAAAGGGCTTTAAAGGCCTCAATGGAAGCAAGGACCTCAAAGCCTTCCCTTAAATGGAGAAAAAAATGACAACAGAGGCGTCTGAAAGTGAAGGGGAAGGCTTTTTCCTTCTCACTTTTACAGCAAGGAGACAGTAAGGTGAGGCCCAACCCTGGAAATAAACAAGAAGGTGAGGAATGAAGCTGGGGGGCCTGAAAGGGAAGTCAAGAGATTTGGGGGGGGGGGGGATAGACCGCTTTCTTTCCCTTTTCCAAAAGGAATCGATGGGGCCTAGTGGAAAATGGGCCTTTCCCCCCTCAAAGGCCTTGGTTTGTAAAGGATATTAGGCAGAAAAAACACACACAAAAGGAAAAGAAGAAGCGAAGGCGTAGCATGTCAAAGGAAGGCCTGAAGCCTGCCCTAAAGTAGTCAATGGGTAAAGAGGCCCCCAAACGCGACCTAGCATCCCTGAGAGGCCTGGAGCCTGAGCTAAAGTAGTCAATGGGAAAAGAGGCCCACAGAGTCAGGGTTTGAAAAAAGGGGCGAAGGGAAAGGACGGGGTTCGCAAAAGGCCCCCGAGGCCTCCTCTCCTCCGCCTCCCACCTCCGGGGGGTCTGTCTGCGTTTTGGGGGCGCCCCCCGAGCCACCCCGTCTTCTACCCAGTGGCCTCTCAATCCCCCTTCGCGTCCGGCAAAGCGGCCGCCATTTTGTTCGGCTCCGGCCTCCTCCTAAGAGCCGCGGCGGTGACGTCAGCAGAGGGCGGGCGGGGCCTACGTGAAATAAAGGGCGGAGCCACGCGAACGGGCTTCTGGGAGGAGAAGGGAACTCCAGCAAGGCCTGTGGCCAAAGGGGCTGCGGTCGAGGTTGGCAGCAGAGTGTTACTTCCGGTCCTCAATCGACACTTTGAAAATCTATATAAATAAAAATGTAATGTTTGTGGGATTAACAGAACTCAAAAACCACTGGACGAATTGCCGCCAAATTTGGACACAAGACACCTAACATACGACCCCTCTGTTACGCCAGCTCCACTGGCTGCCGATTAGCTTCCGAGCACAATTCAAAGTGCTGGTTTTGACCTATTTATTTTATTTGCTTTATTTCTATACCGCATTTTTCAGCCCAATCAGGCGACTCAATGCGGTTTACACGATACAAGTTATCACAACAAAGTCATAAGCAATTAAAACACATCATATACAGCAGACAAAATCAACAACAATTATTATCAAATCATATCATAACGTCTCAATGAAATCAGATCCGTTCTCATAATCCTTGTGCCATTCCTATGTTCGATTTTACCGTCTTCCTGAGTTCAGTTGCACTGTTTAGCCAAACGCTTGTTCATAAAGCCAAGTCTTAACCTTCCTCCGGAATGCCAGCAGCGAAGGGGCCTGTCTGATGTCTACAGGTAAGGCATTCCATAGCCGAGGGGGCCACCACCGAGAAGGCCCTGTCCCTCGTCCCCGCCAAACGCGCCTGTGACGCAGGCGGGACCGAGAGCAGGGCCTCCCCAGACGATCTTAATGTCCTAGTCGGTTCATAGGTGGAGATGCGTTCGGAGAGGTAAGTGGGGCCGGAACCGTTTAGGGCTTTATAGGCTAACACCAGCACCTTGAATTGTGCCCGGTAGCAGATTGGCAGCCAGTGGAGCTGGCTCAACAGAGGAGTGGTATGCTCCCTGAGTGCCGCTCCCGTTAGCAACCTGGCTGCCGAGCGCTGGACCATCTGAAGCTTCCGAGCAGTCTTCAAGGGCAACCCCACGTAGAGCGCGTTGCAGTAATCTATAATGCCCTAAACAACTCTGGCCCAATTTACCTGTCCGAACAGATTCTCCCCTATGAACCATCTAGGTTGTTAAGATCGTCTGGAGGGGCCCTGCTCTCAGTCCCACCACCTTCGCAATCGCGTTTGGTGGGAACGAGGGCCTTCTCGGTGGTGGCTCCTCAGCTTTGGAATTCCCTTCCACCAGAAATTAGATCTGCGCCCTCCCTCCTGACCTTTAGAAAACTAATAAAAACCTGGCTTTGGAATATGGTTTTTGAGGATTGAGTCAATAACCCTTGTCCACATGGAAGGATGGCGATGAATTGTGACTGTATTGACAACTTGGCTTGTGTAATGTGATGATAACAATGTTTTTATTGTACTTATATTTTAATGTATGATGATGATGCATTGTGTTGTTTTGTATATTACTGTATATGAACACATGTTGTGAACTGGCCTGAGTCCCTCCTTAGAGGTGGGAAGACCGGTATATAAAACTTCTAAATAAATAAATAAAATAAACCTAACAACCCAATGTATGTCCTTCATTCAAAAAATTGTTTTTTGTCATTTGGGAGTTGTAGTTGCTGGGATTTATAGTTCACCTATAATCAAACAGTTCTGGCCCTACTTACCTCTCAGAACGGATCTCCTCCTATGAACCGACTAGAACACTAAGATCATCTGGGGAGGCCCTGCTCTCTGTCCCGCCTGCATCACAGGCGCGCTTGGCGGGGACGAGAGACAGGGCCTTCTCAGTGGTGGCCCCTCGGCTGTGGAATGCCCTGCCTGCAGATATCAGATTGGCCCCCTCCCTGCTGGCGTTCCGGAGGAAAGTGAAGACCTGGCTGTTCGAACAAGCATTTGATTAAACAGTGTAATTGAACATAGGAATACGGAATAATTGATGATGAGACTGGATACGGATTTTACTGTTGAGGCGCTAATGATTGTTATTCTGATGTTAATGATTTATGTTACAATTGTTTTTAACTGCCCTATACTTGTCTCGTGATGTTTTGTATCGATGTTGTTCACCGCTTTGAGTTGCCCGAGGCTGAGAAAAGCGGTATAGAAATAAAGTAAATAAATAAATAAATAAAGAGCATTCTGAACTTCACCAATGATGGAATTGAACCAAACGTGGCACACAGAACTCCCATGACCAACAGAAAATACTGGAAGGGTTTGGTGGGCAGTGTCTTTTGGTTTGGGAGTTGTAGTTCACCTACATCCAGAGGGCACTGTGGACTCAAACAATGATGGACCTGGACCAAACTCTATATGAATACTCCATATGCCCAAATGTGAACACTGGTCGAGTTTGGGAAAAATAGAATCTTGACATTTGGGAGTTGTAGTTGCTGGGATTTATAGTTCACCTAAAATCACAGAGTATTCTGAACCCCACCAACGATAGAAGTGGGCCAAACCTCCCACACAGAACCCCCAGGTGGGCCACAGCAACGTGTGGCAGGGAACGGCTAGTATATTTTAAAATTATAATAATACTATTTATGTATTGTCGAAAGCTTTCATGGCCGGAATCTCTGGGTTGTTGGTTTTTTCAGGCTATATGGCCATGTTCTAGAGGCATTGTCTCCTGACGTTTCGCCTACATCTATGGCAAGCATCCTCAGGAATGGTTTTGGAATCTTTAAAAAGAATGCTTGGGGGCTGCGATTGGGAACCGGAAGTAATGATAGGACACTTTTGTCTTACCTCTTTGACATCCACGAAAGGCCCTTACTTCCAAAAGCAGGCTTCCCATGATGCACTATTCCCCCACCCCGGTAGTCTTATGAACTGTCCTGGTTAATTTTGCATACTATTTTATTCTAAAACGTCATTTTTAAATAGAGAAAGCATATATGGATTGCTCCAAAGTGTGAGAAACCTACGTCTAATCAAAGAATAAATGCCTAGATATGGTCACTATCACCTTAATGTTTCTCAAGGATAAGCGTTTATATATGGATGTGTGAAAAGTAGTATTTGTGCTCGCTTCGGCAGCACATATACTAAAATTGGAACGATACAGAGAAGATTAGCATGGCCCCTGCGCAAGGATGACACGCAAATTCGTGAAGCGTTCCATATTTTTTCACTTTTGTACATTTATGGGTTGAATGAATGCTGCACAGGCCATTATTGTTATTATACACGTAAATCTGCAAAATTGCCCTTTTATTCACCCTATTTTTAATAATTATTATAATTATTATTAATGTATTATCGTTATTATTTATATATTATTCTATTTATATATTATATTATATGATTTAATGTTATTTATTATTAATAATCTATTTTTCTATTTATTGGGAATGTGCTGTGGATGCAGGGTGAACTATAACTCTCATGTGGGTGGGTCAGTTCCCCAAACCCCTCCAGTATGTTCTGTTGGTCACTGGGAGGGGGATCTGTGTGCCAAGTTTGGTCCAGGTCCATCATTGGTGAGTTCCAGAATGCGCTCTGGATGCACAGTGAACCACAACTCCCATGTGAGTGGGTCTGTCGTCATCACACCCACCCCTCCATTATGTTCTATTGGTCATTTGGGGTCTGTGTACCATGTTTGGTCCAGATCCGTCATTCGTAGGGGTCGCAGTGGTCTGGGAAAGCAAGTGAAGGTACTGAAAATCCCATCATCCTTGGTCAGGGGCGGCTCGTCCATTACGCGAAGTAAACGGTCGCAGAACACTTTTTTTGCCAGGGGCGCAGAGGCACCTCTGTAAATGCCCCTCGATT